TGTTGCAATTAGAAATGTATCAACAAAAATTTACAACAAAAATGCTACAAAATAGCTACATTTGATTGAAACAGTTACTGTATCCAATTTTAAAATGATACTGTAGCAAATAAATGTATTCTTTAAAATGTAACAAATAGAACTGACACAGTAATAAATAAAATGTATCAACCTATTATTATACATTTGTAAAGTAACATATAAGTAAAGAAACACAACCAGTAATGATAACGATGACATATCAAAACAAAATAAAATAGGTACACTACAAATATCAGAAATGCAAAATAAAAACCAATCCAATCATCAACAGGTGAATATATACTTCAATAATAGAACAAGTGAAAAATGACAACGAAGAACAGTGAACATAAAGGCTTGCCAAAATAATTTCAAATATGTATCAATACATAGATAATTAGACAGACACGAAAATAAAAAACGATTCATAGAACAACACAAAAGTTTTAATCTAGAAATTGTTTTACACGAGGTTTTTTCGTGAAGAGAAAAAGAATGAAAAATTAACTTTTATAGACACCACACAAAAAACTAAAGAACAAAAAAACAGAAAACCATCCGAAATGACTATTAGGCCAAAAAGACATGCATGCGTAGTTTAACACAAATAAGTAAAGTTTCTTCAAATAGAAATATGGCGCACGAAATTTCAAAATTTATAAATCGTAAACAATCCATTATCATCCACAAGTCACATTTTAAAAAATCAAAGACAGATCATAATTCCATACAGATCGCAGCAAATGGCCAACCAACAAAACGCAATACAAAATGGCATTCAGTTCATAACAAAATAATTTGGATTCACAAAAACAATAAAGTAAACAATTTGTCTGTGATTACTATTCTGACACAAGTGTACATAGTAAAAATAGCGACAACATGTGATAATATAAACAATTTACTCATCTCACATTTAGATCTATTGCAACTCTCAATCACGTTTGAATCTCACTTGTAATTGAAACTGAAATATCTCCCATTTAAAAATCGCGCAAATAAAATTGACACCTACTACACAGAAAGAAAGTAAAAAGGTTAGTACTAACCTTTTTTGGTTATTATACAAAAAATAACCATTTAGGGTTAGTACTAACCTTTTTGGGTTATGAGCAATTTTGCCAGCCGATTGTTGCAACGATATATCGAAATCATCGATTGTGTCGTTCATCACGCGATTGTTGCAGCAATTTTTACCCCCTTTTATTGCATTTACCCCCCATTAAAATTTAATCGATATATTGAAATTTAATTGATTTTATTGAAATATTAATTTATTAAAATATTAGAAATAATAAAATACATCCATATTTCACATCCCAATTGCGCCATACAACGTTAATTGTCCCGTTTGAAATAGATCCAATGTTCGCGGTCCATGTTCCAAGACAATGTCCAAATTCTATCCGTGGTTCGAGATTCAATTTCCCAATTGTTCGCCGGCAATCCTAAGTGAAGATAAATATTAGTTGTTTGTTCAATTAATCTATTTATTCGCTTACCATAATTATTTTCAAGTATGCGTTCCATCCCGTGAATCTTCGACTTATAATCATGTTTTCGATCGCTTCATTGATTCCAAAGATTCAATCAGCATTCAATTCAATAGGAAATAGCTCAGACCGTGTTCCTAAGCCTAATCTAACCCTAGCCTAACCTGTTATCATGTGTTGAACATGGTCAAACTATTCTTGAATTGGATGCTGATGAACAATGGAACCGCCGAATTGATCTCGAACATAATCATCAATCGAATTTCAATTTGATGATTGTAAAATTTCAGGAACGAACCTGATAAAAAAGATAGACCAATCTTTATTAGATATGAAGAATGAATATGTCGACTTACCGAATAAGTTGTTCCGACAATTCAATCCAATGTAGGCCTTTGAGAAATGTAAGTGTTAGAATCATTGATTGATAGCGAAATTCCAAAGTTACCTGATGGTGAACATGATGTTTCATTGGACATTGTACCATATTAGTGACCAGATATCCACCAATAAATTTGTAATGTTCGGCATCATTACCATGATCGTTTTTCTAAAGACGGCACCAATTATATGTCTAATGATCATTGATCATCAATGAAAATTTCATGCTTCAAAAGACAAGGAAAATTGTTAGCATTTTCAATCTAAGGCAAAATGTAAATTACCTCATTGACCATGTTTTCACATATATTAATCTGGATTCCAATTATCATACATTAGATATAATGGACTCTGAAAAAGAAAACTTGAAAAGGATATGATTGAATACAATTTGGTGAAAAACAAAATGTCATAAATACATTTGAAAGTCATCGAAAATGGGATTTGTTCGCCAACTTGTATCATGATTACATGATGACCGAACCAAACGATCTTCATTGATTTCGGAGCCAATTTTTGATCTTAGACCATAATAACTTTGAACAAAGATAATCTTGAATCGATTAGTTTCTTTGTTCCAAAATTTACTGCAAAAAACAAAGATTAAAATAGAGAAAAATGAAAAAAATACCACGACATGATCACGAACATAGCGCAAAGTTGAATGAAGACAACCGTCTTTGACGATCGTTGAGTTTTGTTCGATTTTTCCAACGGTCAAATTCAAATTTGTATGGGAATAGAAGGGGAAAAGAAGCGCGCAGCATTTGCATTGAAAATAGTTAGCTGCACTACCACTGCTTGACTATGCGCAGTTGCTCATTAGTTGGACTTTAGAATTTTAGGCGGCAAAATGAATGCATTACGACTTGAATTGAATTTTTCTTTATTTTTAACAATTAAAAAATGAATTTAACATAATCGATTGACCATATATCTACCACAGCTTGTTTGAAATAGATAATCGTTTATATGGGATAAATATTCTCCATTTAGAAGAACTTCATCATCAAATTTTTCTATATTTTGAAGAGTGAAGACCTTCTTCGAAGTATTATCATCGTCGAATACTTCATACCATATTGTTCCTTTGACCAAAATTTGTTTTGTTTCATGGTTAATGAAAAATTTTGTTCCTTGAAGCCATATTTTTGGGCGATACCCGGGAACAAGCACTCTTCTCAAGACATTTTTGCCAAGATAAAAATCGCCTTGATTCCGGTTTCCATCGACGAATCCGTGAAAGGTGTATGCATCATACTCCTCCACGGTTGTTTGCTTGATCCATCCTTCTTTTGAAACTTCCTTTCCAAATGATGGTAATGTTTGTCTCAAAGCAATACGGCCACTCAATGTATCTGCTGGAGATTTCCAGCAGCCCATTGAGCTGCCGTATCTTTTTGAGATTTGATGTACACTTTCATATCTGATAGATGATGAAAGGTATAATGGGCCAAACCTCTTTATATTATTTGAATAATGCAACAATTTATGAAGTTTATATGTTACATTAAATTTCATATATTCGTGTTGATTGCTAATGTGAACAAATGAATCTATAATCGATTTGCTGAACATATCCAAATCTTTCAAATCGTTGGAATTGAATTCTGTTTGTCTGGCCAAACGACAAAATGAAACAGTATGTTCATAGAATTGAAGTATGTCGATTTCATTGTCGCAAATCTTTTCGAATTCATCGAAAAAGATTTCCGATAACCTCATGAAACATTCAAATTTCTATTGAAAAAAATTAATTGAATAAATATTAAAATTTCAAATGAAGGTGAATAAAATAGGACATACTTGTACTCCATTTCCATTGATTTTCAAGAATTTCTTTTTTTCAAATTCAACCAATATTTTTCCGTTATATAATGGAAAACTTTCCAGTCGTTTGGCAATAATCTTGGTCGTTAATTTCAAATTATTTTTTTTTGAGTTGATAAGTGTCCAGAAAAAAAGGTTCATAATTTTGATAATTGGACCCTCTAAAATTTTTAATAAAAATTTAATTAATTAATTAATAGAATTGAACATAACGAACATACCAAACAAATCATGAAACATGTCTGGAGGGGAAATATTGCTAAGAGTAACCCCTCTCAAGTCAGTCAAAATGCAGTCCCTAAAGACCAAATTCTTTACACCAGATTTCACGAGATTGTGTTCATCGGAATCTAAGATTGAGTGCAATCGTGACGATGGATATTTTTCACGCTTAGTTAAGCACTCACGGCAAATGCTGCTTTTACCAAATCCCATAGAGAAACCAAGTATCTCATTCTGGGCTAGGTTATCACAGATAATCTTTGATAGTATTACCTGGATTTCGACGATTTCACCATTATCTTTTTTAACTTTTATGCCAGAATGCTCCAATTGTTGCATTTCACGAACCAACGGTTTCAATATCATGTTCATTGAATTTTTTACTTTCGTAATCGGCCGTTTGACCAAAAGAAACACATTGATTTGGTCGCGTTGCACTCGTTCTTGAAACGGTAAATTAGAACAAGACAGATAACCGGCAAGAAATTTTCGGCCTCTTTTTCCCATGAAGGAATAATCATCAAGAAAAATTTCAACTCGAAGTTTACCTTTGAGTCGCTCGAACATCGTTTTGTCGGTTGTATCAAGTTCATTATTGATCGTAAAATTTTTTCTTTCGTTTTCAGGAACAAATTGCAATCTTTTTTCTTTTTCGATGATATTAATCAGTGAAGGATGTTGACTCATTATAGATCTGAGGATACCTTCAACTGAATAATATTGGATTGTTAGTTCCGGATCCGAAGTTGGAATTTTAATTGGCTGAACATAGTTAGGTTGCATTTCAAAGAATTGATCTTGTAAATAACAACTAGAGGAATATCTTGCCATAATATCCATGATATGATTGGGAAATTCTTGAGCTTTTTGAAAATTTTTGGCAATTACACTTCCTAATTCTTCAACATGAGCATTCGGAATAGATTTTTTAAGCCTTACTTCCGATAATTCAACGATGAATTGCTTCAAGAATTCTCTTTCACCTAGATAGACAAAAACTTGGTTAAATGAAAAAAATTATTATATAAATGATACCTTGGCATAATGGTGACACTTTTGAATTGTAAAATGCTTGATGGCCAGGTTTGGATTTAGGTAATGATAATTTTTCAAAGAGTTTATCAAGTTCATCGAATTCATTATCATTATCATCCGACTCACTATCATTATCATCAACTGGGTCTACCTCCATTTGATTATCATCGCTAACATTTTCAGAGGTTTCAGCTATAGTTGATTCACGATAAGATGGTCCAGCAACATCATAGCCAGTTTCCATTGATTGATCGTGCTGGCTAGTTATATTTTGTCCAATTTCCTCTACTATCGGTTGATGATGTTGTCCAGCAATAACTTCATCAGGTTGCTCAATCATGGCATCATCGTGCTGGCCAGCCACATTTTGACCAATTTCCTCTACTATCGGTTGATGATGTCGTCCAGCAATAACTTCATCAGGTTGCTCAATCATTGCATCATCGTGTTGGCCAGAGACATTTTGACCCCTTCTCTGTTGATTGAATCGAATAACAACTTCCACAGGTAGCTCTGCCATCGCTTGATCGTAATGACCATCCAATAATTTTTGACAATAACTTTCATGCTTATTGTTTAAATGCTTAATTAAGCTGTCCACAGTAGATAATTGAGATCCACATTCTTCAAACAAACATTTTTGTTTCGGGAAGCGTTTATCCAATTCTTCTCGCGACAAATGTCGCGTGTAATTTCTTCTATTTCTCAAACATTCAGCTTTTGCATTGAATGGAGTATTTATTAAATTATCGGACTTAATTTTTGTTGAAGACATTGTTGAAACAAAAACGAATTAAAAAATCACTTTGATATAAACCCGATAAACGAATAATTAAAAGAATGAAAAATATCACTATTCGATGACGGTTGTGAGAGGACAAGGATGTTGATCACGGTTCCGATTAATAGTTTTGGCACACAACGGAACAAAAGATAATTCTTTGGTTAATAAATGATGAAGTTTATTTAAATGAACAACAAACAATAATAAATCAAATCTTGAATTAAATCACAAATAATATCACAAATTAAATCACACAAGTAAACGGATATGATGATGATGATGATGGAAAATAGACATTGATTGGCCTAACAACAGATTGTTAAAAATCGACCGTGATCTGTGTTGGCAGTTGTCGTTAAAATGATAAAGAGGTCACTATGATGACTTGCAGAGTTTCGTTTAAGATTCTGAAACTAATGTGTGTGTTTGTCCATGTGTCCAGCATTTTTATACTTGTTGATGGCCAAAACTCGAAACTTTTCCGCCAACTTGTTGCTAGTGTTAGGTTGGTCGTCCTCCAACTGCTTTGGTCCTTTGTAGTCCATGTAATTTTGTCTATGTGCGATGACCAGCCTGGATTGCTCAGGTCAAAGGCAAAAAGCCAGCATGGTGACCACGTGTTTGGACATCCGGCGCAATTTTTCCTAGCCTTTTAATATTTAAAATTCATTTTCGTTACCATCTTAATTTTTCTTATTATTAAAATCATCATATCTTGTTTACTTTCACTTGTAACATAGATTTATAAATCACATGCAACATATTTTTATCATATAAATAATAGCTTATTAATCATGTATGTTTTTTAATTTTATTATTATTACCGTTGTTGCATCATTTTTTCAAATATTTATGTGATGTCCTAGAAAAAATCAACTTCCTTTTGGTAAGGAAAGGAAAATCAACAATAGGCAAAAATCCAGCGTGGAAAAAATGTGGCCATAAGTCATGGACTTATTTTCTGGGTCCGGGAAAATCTTTCCACCACGTTCAAACAAGGTGATTTTACTACCATGCACTAGCTGGGACTGGTACATGAGTAGCAAAACAAACACCTGAACACATGGTCTACGTGACAAGTGGAAGGTTGATAAGCTGGTCACCAACGTGAGGCGTGGTATCAACAGATTGGCGATTGGACTGTCCAAGAAAATCATATAAAAATCCCGAAGACGCACACAATCATCATCGTATATCACCATATATTGTCAAGCTGATCATTTTTGCTGGCTGGTCTTTATAATTCATCATCTCACACATTTATTTTCTCATTGCTAATAAAATTCTTACATTTTTTACAGTGTTTCATTATCGACCACCAAGAAAGCTGTGTGATTATTCCCAGGAAAATCAATTTGGAAATAGCAAGTGACCTAGCAAGAAGTCCTTCCGGAATAGCTGCACACTAGTATAGCTAGCTCAAAGTAAGTATCGGTTTCCGTAGCCGAAGAAAGCTATACATAACATTTATTTGCTTAAATCAGACAATCATCGACAGATCGCCAGAATCGCATTTCAATATGGAAACAGGTAACCAACATGGTTCGTCTGCTGGATGTTTATTTTGTCATAAATCTCATCCTACCGATTCGTGTTCATTGAGTGTTTTGGACAGAATTCGCATAGTATCAGAGCAAAAACGTTGCTATAAATGCTTCGACCCAGATCATTGGAGTTATAAATGCCAAAAACCCAACTGTCCAAATTGCGGACAAAATCATCATGAATATATTTGTCTTGCTCTTTTCGATCCAATTTCATATAAAAATTGAATTTAAATCATGTCTGTCATTTGTTTATTGTAATTGTAATTGATATTTGTTAAGAAAAACTAAGTTTTAATACTGAATAAAATTACAACGACATGTTATATGTTAACTGCAATATATATGTAATAAATTAAGATGTTCCACTAACATCGTATAATCGATAATCATATCGAATAAGTTCGCAGCTATGGTTGAGGAATGGACACTATTGAAATATTGTAAAGCTTTATTGATCAAGTATACACAGATCATAGATCCCAGATACTCGATGGATAATGTTAATTTGGAATGGGTTTAAATACTAGATTACAATCAATTAGAAACATTAATTAGGTTATAACATTCATTAAATCAAAGTCGAACATTCCATTTAAAATATTCAAACATCACAACTTTGATCATTAACGTTCCAAAACAATCAGGTTTTGGACTTCAATGTTACATATATATATATATGTTATTTATGTTTATTTCGAATTTCGAAATTGAGTCAATTAGCCCTAGAAAGCTAACCATATCGATATTGCTGTAAAGGGATTTTGCATGTAGATGAGTGAGTGTTAGAGCGTTTTTTCGAACTTCTTTTCGAATTTTATTTACTAAATTTTACTTGGGCTTTAGGATATTTTCGAATAATTCGTCCATTAGCTTGAATTGGATCCATACCATTACGAAGATTTTCAACAGCTTTTTGTTTGTGTTTTCTTTCAATAATAAATAGACATAATGAATCAATCAATCAAACAATCAAAAAGTAAGTTGATATGCAGTTGTCCGGGAACGTCGAGTCGATCAAGTTGATCAGAGATGATAATGTTAAATGTCGAGTTGATAGCTGATTTGAATTCACGATATGAAGATGAATTCTAGATGAACACATAACACAACACAAAACACAAATGAAATAATCACAATCTAATCAACACACAGAAATCCTCTTGACAATTGTTGATATATTGTCCGATGACTATGACGGTGATAACAATCATGTTGATTTAGTGACGAATACAAAAAAAATCACTTTGGATCACAACACTAAATCACAGCACTGGATCACAACAGGAAATTCTGCATGAAAGAAACAACAATTAGTCAAAATTTACTAAAAATAAACCAATCACTCACCATTCAAGGTATGGAATACACAAATGAATGGACAACACTTCATTTCACAAAACACAAACATATTCTGTCGAAAAGAAAATGAAATTAATTCACATCTTCAACAATATAATTAACAACATACCACTAATTGATAGAGATGACACCAATGAAACATTTGACAATACACCAACAAATCACTGCACAGCACTAAGCACAACACGAATTTGCAACACCACGCTGAGTTGATAATGATGAGAACTAAACAGATGATAATAAAACACTAAACACTTGACAAACACTAATTAAACACGGCACATCACAACACGAAATTCTTTTGGAAAGAAATACGAATCAATCGTTAATTCAATATTGTTAATCACAATCGAGTTGGATACTTGTTTAAATCATGTCATCAACATCTTGTTTTTATCATGGGCATTAATGGGTTAAAGCAAGCACAGATGATGGAAAGTGGCTTTCAGATGTTCATTTTCTGTGAGATGGCCACCGGCTGCTTTCTTATTTGGTATCGTTTTGAAAGAAGCAGCTATTTATTGTACAGAATTGGGGGGTTGTTTTTATAATTTCCTCGGCTTTGATTTTTCATTTAAATCAGCATGTTTTGTGCATTGATGTGTAATATAGTTTCGAAAAGCACATGTTCACTTTATTCCATCATTATAATCAACGACACGAAACTTTGAAATAAAAAAAATCAGTAACCAATGCATTTTATCATAAAGATCATCAGAATACATTGATCGACAATGATTCCAAAAAAACACGTTGTTCGAATGAAAAATCACAACGTAGAAATGGAAAAAACAAACGCTCATTTCATTTGGTTGAAAAATGTTTTATTATCAGCTCGATCAATGAGTTGGCAAAAATGCAGAGAAATTAAATGATTGCAATGAATAGAAATAGAAATGAAAAACATTTAGTGTGAATAATCGAGTCATCATCGATTAAATCTGATCAAATTGTTGTTTCACCAGTGACAAAAAGTTGAACGTCGTCATGCGCTTCGTTGTCCAAACCAAATTGCATTTTGAATGATAATTTGAATTTGAAAATTGTTCCATTGTACCATACGATTTTGCTTTGGAATAAAAAAAAAAAATAAAATCCATCCAACTCTCTTATTAATAATTAGCATTAACGCATTTTGTTTTTGCTTGGCCATTGGTCTCTAAAATGATGATAAATACAAATACAGATTAGTTATTGGCAAAATTAGCAAAATTCTGAAACTTAATTTTCCGAGCACTGTTCATAGACAATGTACACTTTCATGATTTGGATACAATCATCAGCTGTGCTGGGTGAATGGATAATGGATACATGAAACTTGATATGCATGCCAAGTGAAACCAGTTTATCAGCATACAATCATGAGGCCTTCAACTGGTGAGTTTTAATCGTCCGATTAATGATTAGAATCAGGTTAAATCAGCAAAATCGCTAAAACAAGACGACGAATGGCTATAGTTCATTCAGTCTGTAGAATCGTCAATGGCTAAAACGAGCTTGAGCAAACGGGCCAAGTCCCGAGTCCGGTCGTTACAATCGTCAGTGATCGTTTTTCTTTTTCTTCTAGAACAAACCGTATCGCACAGGATGTTTAAACTGTTGGAAATGTTGAAAGGTTAATAATTTATGAATGCCTGAACAATTTTCATTATTAATTTAACAATCAACAGGTCACAAGCGAAAATTGATGACTACTAAACGACTACGGTGGTTATATGTGCCGACATCGTTTGGACTCATTTTAATGTTGCTCGGTCAAGTGCGTAAAGTGCGTAGAAAAGACGACCAGAATGTTTACAAGCCACTACCGTTTGAAGTGTCCATGTATCGGATGCTTCCGTTACGAACACTGTCAAGAGTGTGGGGATGGATCAATTCGATTGAACTACCACAACCAGTACGAATACCGATTCTACAATCTTACGCAGCTGCCTTTGGCTGTGATCTGGACGAAGCACTGATTCAAGATTTCAAACAATACAAGAATCTCAACGAATTCTTCAAAAGAGAACTAAAGCCCGGTCTGCGACCTATCGCCGGCCAAGAACACGACGTCGTTTCACCCTGTGATGGAACAGTGTTGCATATGGGTCTGGCCAAAGATGGTCTTCTCGAACAGGTAAAAGGCATCACATACACGATGGAATCGTTCTTGGGCCCCATCACCTGGAAATCGTGCCAAGTATCGGAACGCAGCGATACATACCAGCAATGTCTGCTACAGAACCAGAATACTGATCTATATCACTGTGTCATTTATCTGGCTCCAGGTGATTACCACAGATTTCATTCTCCAGTCAACTGGACAGTCAAGTATAGACGTCATTTCCCGGGAAAACTGTACTCTGTACGTCCAACATTCGCTTCATGGTTTCCGAACCTGTTTTCGGTCAACGAACGGGTTGCATATGTCGGTGAATGGCAATATGGATTCTTTGCCATGGTTCCGGTAGGTGCAGTCAACGTTGGCTCAATGAGAATCTACTTTGATCCAGAACTGCGGACAAATCGAACGCAAATGTTACTTTCGGCCGCCGCACACTACGAAGAGAAACCAATGAATCAAGCAGTGGCAAAGGGCGAATCCATTCGGCGAATTCAATCTCGGCTCGACCATTGTGTTGATATTCGAAGCACCGAAATCGATGCGATTCCAGATTGAACAATCGATGAAAATCAAATACGGCCAACTCATTGTTGATGTGCGTAATTCTAATGATGATTGTCAATAACACATTGACCATTTAATGAGAAAACAATAAAACAAATACAGCTAAACTTTACATGTGTGTCAGACTTTTGCTAGTCAATTGGTCTCGTGTTGCTGCTGCTGCTGCTGCTGATGAAAGATGGCTTCAAATTTGCCAACAAACTCCAACAGCGACGGATACTGTTTGACCATATTGCTCAACACTTCGTATGTCTTGTCGTACGAATTGATGGCTTTGATATGACCATAGATGAGACACAATAGTTCCTGAGATACGGCACTGCTGCCTTCATCCACTTGGCGTGATGTCACACGAATCATTTCTTGCAAATATTCTTCCAATGCATTCTGTCCATTAGAATGGTCTTGTAGTCGCTATACACAAGCAAGTAATTAGTCAACAGAGCAATTCATTTTATCAATGATCAAAACACATACCCAGGCGATATCCCGTTGTTTGAGCCAGCAAAGAATGTTGTTCAATGGCCACGGCTTGTCGCATGCATAGCTAATTTTCGTGTGCTTGTCGTAGGTGTCCTTGTCCAGCCATGTGTAATACAGTTCAGTGTCAATAATCACCTTGTTGAATAAATCAATGTGTGCCTGACGCTCGGAACCATCACCCTTGACCGTAATGTGAAATTCGTTGTTGATGAATTCGACAATCGGCCAAAAGCCAGAAATCAGCTGGCGACCAAACTTGATAAACGGCAATTGGCCATCTGGCGACATCCATTCCGCGTTGGAACGTTGATCAATCCGGTAGTCAATCTTGTTCAATTCAAGGTATGCCCGCAATGCATTAACAAAGCCCAATTCTGGCAACATGATCTGCACATTGTTCAACGATTGCACAATGACCACTTTGGTGTTGGCATCTCGTGTATTGCTGCTGCTGCTGTTGTTCAAGTGTTTGACGACCATATCGGTAAGTACCATTTAGTAATAGTAATAAGAATGGCAGAAATTTCAATAAAAAACAATTTGACCAACTATAAATTGTGAATGATATAACAATAACAACATATAATATAACAATTAATTAAATCACAAACGCGTGCAGCATGCACCCAAACAACACTCACTTGGTGGAAATAGAACAACAAACAAACAGCAGATGATTTTATACATGCCAAGCTGTGTTGTGTTTACATATACACACACGCACTGATTTGATTCCAATTGACCGCAACTTGTCCTTTTCGTTTCTTTTTCTCAATCTAATTCAATTTTCAAGCTAATCATCTATCGTTCAAAAAGAATCCGCTGCAACATGGCCTTTCTGCGACGACTACTGGTGCAATCGAGTGTTTTGGTGGCCACAACAAACAAACCGAAACAGTTGGTGCTTGCCAGATGCATAGCTAGTACGGCCGTCAACAACGAAAGCGAAAATTGGTTAAGTAAACTTCTCATGGTTCGTAAAATCGATACCGGAAAAGAAGCTCACTCCCGACTGCTTAGTGATACGGACAAAGTGTATGAATTGCACAGTAAGTAGTGCTCAAACACGTTAACACCACATATATTGTAAAATTGTAACATTAATTTCTAGTTCACGATGTCAAACCTCGCCACAAGGAAGAATACTTGCAAAACTTGTAATACGCTCAACTTGTCATTCAACAACTAATTCCGTAATTTGTTTTCCGTAGCCAAGCATGGTGCAACGAGATCCAGACAAAAAGTCCGGAAATCCGACTGGTTGGCAGCTGGAAAGTAGAAGTGGGCGATCTCGACCAATACGGTAACTTGTGCTGAGATAATGATGCTTCAACTTGATCTGGCTAATTTTATCCTGATGCTTTTAGTTCATATATGGGGCTACGACGGTTGGAAACAGGCATCACAAGTGTTCAACTTGATTCGAAACGATCGAACACTGATGGCACTGGAAAAGGATCAAGAACCGTTTCTACGATCACGCCAAAATCAGTTCATGTTGTCGTTTAGTTTTTGGCCTAGTCCTCAACCGCAAGTAAACAATTCAATGTACGAAATGCGTTCATACGTACTAAAGCCAGGCACCATGATCGAGTGGGGAAACAACTGGGCCAGAGGAATCAACTTTCGACGCAACAATGCCATCGCCGGATTCTTTTCGCAAATTGGCCAGCTCTACTGTGTCCACCACCTTTGGAGTAAGCACACACCATACAAAATATGTTATTCCATGCTCCGACTAATTATTGACCAATTCCAATGCACAGAATACGATGACCTCCAAGCTCGTCGTGAAATCAGAGAAGCTGCCTGGCGGAAACCCGGTTGGGATGAATGCGTCGCCTACACTGTACCTTTGATCCGGGAACTGAGAACTCGGTGGATGTCACCGAATCCATTTTCACCAATCAAGTGATAATAAATAAATCTATACATATACTAACAATAGCCAAGAGAGAATGATGACAATAAAAACAAAAACAAACAAACAAAACAAAAAACATTTACCTTTACATTGTACAATCTTTTATAACAACAAATTACAAATGTAATTAATGTGCTGCACCAGCAGCACCATTCAGACAGGAATGGCAAATCTTTCTATGTAGTGAATCACTTCAAAGACAACCTCGATCATGATCAATATGATAATCATCCACTCGAGTCGCACGTGGTGAATGTCATTCAGATGACTGGAGAGCAGATCCATCAGCTCGATGCAATGATTCAGTTTCTCGTTCATCACCCTGGTTCGTTTGTTGATGTTCAGGTGCAGATAGGTTGCCGTAAACAATCGTTCAAGTTGCTCTCTGTCCCAGTAAAAATCGGGCGTGTCCAACATATCCGAACTGAGGTTGAGTCGATGTCGAAGGCCAAACAATTGGCCCGTTTTTTTAAACACCTGATCTCTGGTCAGGTTAATTTTCCGGCCTTCTTTCATGTCCTGAGTGATGTAACCGATGCTGTCGATGTAACGGTCAAGATTCGCTTCCCATATTGACAGTTTGACCGAAAGTGCAATGGCGTTGGAAAAGGCAAACTTGTCCAAATTGACGGCGTTCGGTTCGTCATTATTCATGTTCAAATGAATCAAACCTCGAGACAATCGGGAGTGCGATGATCCGGTGGTGAGCACGACATCAATCTCTTCACGTTCTTCGTTGACAATGTCTTGATTGTATGAATTTAGCTCGTAGTGCCGAAGCAGTTTGAGCACGAGACTGCATTCGCTGGCCGACATGTTCCAGAAAACGATCGAACCTTCGTCAAAAACGAAAAAGTCTCTTTTGTTATTCTCGTCTTCCAATTTGTATTTGGCCGTCATGTGCAATACTTGGCCATTCAGTTCGCTTTGAATGGATTCGTCGTCATATACCACTTGCTCGTATAGACCGTGTTGCACTAATGCAGAATGGAAATCGTCGAGGTTGTATTCTTCGGCAGTGCTCAATGCATAAACTGGTCGTTCACATAGACCTTCAGCTGTTTGTTGTATGGTACTCTTTTTTTTGGGCGCCCGTCGTTTGATTGAATTGATCAACAAACGGCCAGTATCGGTGAGACCAGTAGTAGCAGTGGTTGATGATGTAGTTTTCATTCGTATAACGGTTGGCCGACTGATTGGCCATTGTTTGAAGCCAAAAACAACCCGACTATAAATACGACTAATCATTATCATCGGAATCATTTAAAATAAACATGCAGTCAGTGCAGAACACAATATTGTGTAGCATGTGACTGACGGTACTTGCATCGTTTAAACAGGCTGTTGTGTTGATCATTCATCATTCATCATTCAAATATAACAACGAACATTTATTCATCAAGCAAAATCAAAATTAGTGACGATTTAGATATAATTTTTTATAATATAGTAATAGTATAATAGGATAAACAACCAGAGCTACAATACAATTGGGAGATGAATATCAAGAATATCAAGATCATGACCGGGAAAAATCGAGGGCCCAATAGCCCAAATTGAAAAAACACACACTGGTTAACGCGGTAATAGAACATTGCTAGAATAATGAATCACTGAATGATGAGTGCATGGCTGCAGTGGCGTTGAGATTGGCAATCATCGATGGCTGCGACGATTCTCGGATGATGAAAGGGGTTGCACATTCTGCACACTCACGCACACAACACGAAACTTGACTAATCTATCTGTTTGGTTCCTTTGAGGTTGCCTTTGGCACGTTGCTGTAACGTGGAAACGTGAGATTTTGGTTAGTCAACGAGCCAACTAGATTTTTTACAAATTACCTCGTCCTCGTCCAATTCTTTTTTGGTCTTTTCCTCCAATTCACGAATATCCTTCATGGTCAGGCCATGCCATTTGTCCACCCAACAAAAGACTTGCCTGTGAAAGTTGAGGAATATTCTTCGCTCGGTCTGAAAACAACAAATTATGGTGAGCAGGAACAACAACAACAAAAAACAAAAAAAATGTCATACCTTTTGAATATAGTTCTCAATACGACCTTGAAGGCCAAACCATTTAAACTCACAAGTGACCAGTTTGTAGGAACACATGACCGGTTCACAACTTTTCTGCAAGCAAACATTGAATGAATCATATGAACAAAATACAAACACTGACAATTACTCACTCTCCAATCGTTGCACAATGGTCCTCGATTTGTTTTTTGTGATTTGAATTTCCTAGGATCTTCATCGGGCTTGTAGTCCTGCATTGGAAATGTAACAACAAAAGAGAATGTGATATACACACACATGAATACATTTCAAATGTATACCGATGGATTGACAGAATCGTTGGCAATGTCAATGAAAACCACATCCCGTTGCTTAAGAAGCTGTGGATCCAAGTGGTGAGCGTTTTCTTGTGTCCCTCTGTCCGGTGAATGCATCGTTTCCACCACCAAACGAAAATTGTCCTTCATATAGTCTGGATTCTGTGGATGAAGAGAGCATCGTCATCATGTGATCATTGAATAGATAAAAAAAATGATACATACAGTGAGGATGGTTCTACAGTACGGGTAGGCATTCCAGGCTTCTTCGTGAATCTCCAACGAACCTTTTGGTGCGATTAGCCGAACAATGGAAGGCACCTTGGAATCAAGGTGGTAAATCTTGTAAGTGTATTGGCCTTTGTCAAATTTGCCATCCAAAAGTGGATAGTTGCTGAACGGCTCATTCTTGACCACCTCGACGCCTTCACCACCACCAGTTTCATTTTTCGAAGCTTCGGCAACGCTAAACAACTGTCCTATTTGATACTGGAAAAATCATCATCGTAATCAATACACATAGCAACAGAATAAAATGGAAACCCACCTCTTCTACCGTCAACGGCAGCACGACACGACTAAACAGGAACAAAAGAGAACAATATCATTTTAGCATTATAGTAATTATAATAACCAAACTGGACAATACTCACAATTCTTTGATGAGCATCGTCTGGGATTCAATAAAACAAAGCAACGACTGATGCAAATGATGATTTGGAATAAACAATCAACTGATACTTGTGTGTGTGTGTGTGTGACGACTATGACTAATGATGGTGACAACTGGAAATGCACACTTTACATGTGCATTGGATGGATGTCTTACAGACACCAATCCTGACTGTTAATCCAAGTTGATCCAAATTAATCCAATTAATGTGCGCGGAATGTAATCAACAATCATCAACAACAACAATTCAATCAACTAAAGTGGGTGTTTTGCCAATATAACGCCAAATAAAAGACATATGGATTCAGCAGACAAGGGTCAAAGGAATGATGATGATGACTTGCCACACAAACATGGGGCAGTGAAAGTAGCAACCAGCAGCAAATGTTGATCCAATAATTCGATTGCTGATAGATTTTTATAGGTGGATGATGATTATGCACACTGCTGGATGCTGTCCAATCGGTATATTGTTGGCCACACAATAAACAACGATGATCGTTCGTGTCTGTGTGTGTGTGTGTGTGCGTGATTAATCTTTCTCAACAGCTCAATGCAAATAGCAGACACACCACCAAGATAGCAACTATGATGACACCAGCAACATTCTAGGGTGTCATGCGCCCTAACAAACAAATGTAGCTTTTATTGAAAAAAAAATTCAATTATTGTGACAAATCAATGTGAAAAGATTTTATGAAAAAAAATTAGAACAGTTAATACACGTGACAAAATGAGTCATGTTTATTCGAATTATATTTATAACATGCATGCATGCATGTGGCCCAGAGATTAGTGTGTTGGAAATGAAATGTCAAAAACCAAAATTGTGTAATTTCTTTCTGTGTGTAAACTGATTATTCATCATTGCCATACTGGTCATAGGGGTGGTGGTCGGGAAAAACCACGTTCGACGTGTAGGATCCCGCAGCCTTGACCGATTTCGATGGTACAACTTGCATTTGAACCTGGCCATCACTGCAACCTTGACACACGGGCAAGGCAACTGGACGTGTGACCAAAGTCTTTTTCTTGCGAAACACGAGCATAGGCACACGAACCATGACCGGAACTTTTTGGAAACCAATACCGATTTCTGGCGATTCCTCTACATATGCCTTTGTGTGCACATAACCGGCTGCTGGTGGACCTCGACTTGTAAACAGCGAACCCAATGAAAACGACATGCATGGAACGATGGCCACGAATGCGACCAACAACAGGAAAGCCTGCATGATGCGTTCTATTCTCTAGAATAATTGACTAAACAAATGAGAGAATCATTCACAAATCAATAGTCAATACTTACGGAGAATCTCATTCTCGAATATCGTACAATGTGTGTGATTTGATTATGCAACAGAATGTGCGACTGAAACACCAACGATCAAACAGCAAATTGAAATCAAACCAAACTTGTACAAGTCTTTTATATAAAAGTTCTCTCTGTCTGCACTTTATTATTATCTAATCCATCAGCAGCGAATCGTCTATAACATTCAGCGATCCTGGGCAATGATAAATTGCATCTCGGAATTCGGGACAGGTTTCATGTGTGTGTGTGTGTGTGTATGTCATAGTGCCAAATCTAGGCCAAAGATCAAAAGGTCACAGAGGACAGGAATGTTTGCACAGTACTAATGAGAAAATATTTTAATGGCAGCCCCCGACCAATAGACACTTTAACCAATGAGCAAAGATCAACCACAAGGTTTTATATATAACATTCAATGTGTGTGTATGGATGCATTTATTCTTGACAAGTTGGTGCTATTAAGTATGTGAATATGAATGATATAAAATCAGGGAGATATCTGTTCCGAGTCCATAGTTGTCACCAGTGGCTGCTGCTGCTGTTGCTGCTGCTGCTGACTCGAGAAATGGGTTGCCATGGGGTACGGTCCCAAATGGATGGCGGAAGATGCGGGCAAACTGGACGGAAACATCCTAGTGGCCAATTGTTGCGTTGTTTGCTGTAGGTAGGCAATGTTGGCGTTTGGCTTGGTCTTGTAGGAAGGAAGACGACTATTGATCCTGGAATCGATGCTCAGCTCGTGTTGACTGAAATCAAACAGTGGTGGCAAATCGCGATTCGATGACCACTTTTTGTTCGGATCACGCAATTCGTCAAAGAATTGGTGTGCACAAGCATGCAACGGAGCTATTCGATGTGAAGGGTCGTAAGCAAACAGCTTCGATATGAGATCTAGAGCGTCGGTAGGTGCACACGGAAACAGCAGCGGCCAGGACCGTGGATACACCTGAGGAAATTGATAGCGGGCGTACTTGGGATTCATGGCAAGAATCTGCTCTTTGGTTGGCGTGCCCAGCTTTGATATGATACAAACCAATTGGTCGAGGCCGCTCTGCTCATAAAAAATTGGCTGGCCAAGCAACAGTTCGGAAAAAACGACACCAGTCGACCATAGATCTGCAGATCACAAATTGAAGACAATTTTATTGCAAACAATTAAAGGGATTTTCAGTTTCACAAACCTATCTTTTCGTTGTAGTCGGTGGCGCCGAAAAGCAGCTCGGGAGCTCGATAGAATCGTGCACAAATGTAGGAAACGTGAGAATCGCCACGCCGTAAATGTTTGGCACTTGACCAAAATAACAATAACAACAACAACAACAACAAAAAATCATTGAGTAATGCGATGACCAAGTTTAAAAGACTCACCTCCCGAAATCGCATATCTTGAGCACGCCCGTTTCCGAATTAAAGAGAAGATTGTTTGGTTTGATATCACGATGACAGATGCCTTGAGAATGAATGTAGGCCAGACCACGGAATATTTGATACATGCACAGTTTGATGGTAAACAAATTGGTGGCAGGAACTGGCGACAGCGAACAAAGGTCACCATGTGGCAGAGAGTGACGTGAATTCTTGCGGTTTCTGTTGCTCTTCTGGATCAACATGTTCAGGTTGGTCGGTATGTATTCCATGACCAAATTCAGAAAAATGTTCGAGTTCTGTCCAGCACCGAAACAACAAACAACGTCATAGTTGATGCATCAATTCGCCATTGTAACACCTACCTTGAGATGGTCGTACTCGGTGTGGTAAAAGTAATACAGCAACGTGACAATGTTACGATGGTTCAGTTGCTTCATGAGCGGCAGTTCACGATTGCGATAACGTTTGTCTTGCAGCACGTGCTTGATGGCCACCTTTTCACCTTTTATAAAAGCAGTACGAACATGGCCAAACGCACCCTTGTCAAACACTTGTTCCAAGGCGATGCTCAACTCGATTGGATCGCTGTCTTTATCATGGCGATGATTGTTCTCATAGACAGTGAATTTCCTTTCGGACATTTTACTACTACTCATATTTCCAGTGTTCATGGCTATGGTTCGACCTTGTTTCTCGGTTGGATGGTTATGTGCTATAATAAAGTGGTAATCCCAAATCCAAAACAATCATCTATTGGTTATGGTTATGATTAACATACCGTTCAAAATGATTTGCTGCATCTGTGAATTGATCATACCCGAATATCACTAGACCATCGATCAACACAACGATGACAAAAACAACCAACTGAACAGACGATGTGATCAAATGATACTGGACGATGACGTCGTCGTCGTAAAATGTTGTATTGTCACTTGTTGATGAGCAGACAATAGCTCAACAAGGAAAATGACAGTCTGATGAATTGTCGTCGTCGTCGTCAATCATTGAATAAATCACAAGACATCAACCATACAAACATATGTATTTGGCCTTTGCTCATTGCAACCATCGTCTGCTCACTCGTTCATCACTATCGATTGGCGATTGTTCATGTTTGAATAATTCAAATTGATACTGAATAAATAATGTGGATTGTAGCAATTGTATAGCATTTTTTATTGTTACATTACAATGATTACACAATATATAATAATAATAACCAAATAAAAATAGAATAAAGCTTTAATGAATATATATAAACACACACGGGGAATGGTCATAAGTAGACTGCGAAATAAACTCACTCATTCGTCACTGGTGCTGATTGTGAATGTTCCAACGATGAGGCATCGATAACGGACAACAAGGAACTTTGTAGCTTTTTGTTATCGCCAGCAATACAAGTGATGAGCGATACAATCTGCTTTCCAGTGTAGACGTTTGACTTCTGACGGATCCAATCGGCGAATGTAGACTCGGTAATGTAGAATGCTTTGATGTATTCTTCCACTTGAAGACGTTCGTTGGCCAGATAGCTTTTCAGGCTGCTTTTGGCAGTTTGTTGGTTCGTGTAGTAATAGTAATAGTAGCAGGGTGTCATCAGTTTTTCCATATGCGACAGAAATTGTTCGTAATCCAATTGCATTAAAGCTCGACCTTCGTTTGTGCATTTGCGAACAGTTGAGAATCCCTCGATGAACGTTCGATTCAAGGCACGCAACAGGCATTCCCAAAGAGTTATTGGAATTCGTCTAGACAACCATTCAAGTTTGGTCAACGGCATAATGTTTCCATCTTCATCATCATCATCACCATCACCATCATCATCATCACCATCGACGTGGTCATCTTCGATCAAACTGGCCGTAAGAAAGGTCAGGTCATGTGAATGCAGCAATTGGCCATAGGCAGCATCGAAGCGATTCAATTGCTCAACAATAACGTTGACATATGGCGAATGTATGGATGGTATCTCTTTCAGATCCCAACGAGTTTGTTGCATCTGTTGTACGATCGTCTCGTAAGGCAATAATTTGGTGACCACGGCGTATAAACACTGATACTGCAAACTTGCCACACTCGACCACATCTAGAGTCCGATACAAATGATGAATCAATTAAGAGTCGTAAAAAAACAATATTCTATACTAATAAACATACCTTGTCGTGGTAGAATTGAATACCCTTGATGAATCCGTCCTTTGTCATTTTCGACGTTTCAGCATTCAGACTCCAGGATGATTCATCATCATCTTGTTCATCGTCGGGTCGTAAAAACTCCAACAGCAACGGACAAAGGTGATAAAATTGACGGCCTATGAAAATCCTGTGGAAAAATCATTAATGACAATCACTCTTGACAATAACCACACTATCATCACACTCACATGGACTGGATGGCCATAATACGTTCACCAAGAGCATAGTGTCGATCGGCCAATTGAATAGGAACATATTCTGAAAGATCAGGACATGGATATTTGGGCATTGACCAAGCAGCCTTCGAAGGAGAGCAATTTGCCGATCCAATCTCGTCGTCTTTCAGGATAAAAGTCCCATTATTCGAAATCAAAGTCTCATTAATGCGTTTGATGAACAAAGACAATTTGTGATTGAGCTGCAATCGATTCGATTGTGATGATGGTGGTGGTGGTGGTGTGCTCAGCTGATTCACAACAAGCCACGACACCGGTAATGCATCTTTGGCAAAAAAGTGATAAACCACGTACAAATAATAATCAAATAGTTCGAGTAACGCTTGTATGATATCATGTGAAATTGGCCGCAACAGAAACATTATGTTCATGTAACGGCCCATCAATCGAACCACATTCAAAGCCGTGTTGGTGGTCACAATCTCCATCTTGGAGCTTGACACGGAATCGTTCGGTGGTCGAATGTCACATCGATCATCATCTCTGTCGGAATCAGAGTCGAATGTCTGCTGAGAAATGATTGTATCACGGGTAATGAGTTCATCGAAAGGCGACACCGATACCCGCAGCGATAAAACATCATCATCAGCGTCCAAATCGTCCGCGACAAAGTAGCATGCTCTGGTCGTGCCAGAAGCAACGGGCGACAGCAGCAATGTGGACGGACTGGCTTTGGTCAGTTTGTCTTTTTTCCCGGTTGAACATTGTCCTTCGTGAATTTTCATTCGCAGTAATCGTTGCTTGATGAATGCAAATTCCTGCAGGTTGGCAATCAGTTCAAATTCATCGGTCGTTTCGATTGGACAACGGGTCCATATCTCATTCTCGAGGAAAATCTTCAACTCGAACATGGACACCTGATGATAGGATTGAACATAGGCTCTAGTCTGCTGATAAAGCGTGCTTTCCAATTCCATGGTTGGACTGGCTGATGGTGACAACAATTCATTCCGATGATGATTGCAAAGTTGGTAAAGCTGACAAAACTGCTTGCCAATCTCAATCATTCGCTCAGACACGCTCAATATCTTGATGAATTCTTCGAAACTAAACAGCAGTTGATCCTGGTGGTGGTGGTGGTGAGTAATCTGATCAACATCATCGCCCGGTGGCTGGTTAGTTGCTGCATCAGAATGCATCAAATCGGCATGGTTGCCCGGTTGTTGGTGGACAAACTTGACACTGGTGAGAAGAATCCGAACTTTGTGCTGAACGTCTGACCAAACTCGCAGTGCCCCATGTGAAAGCTTCTTGACTGCCAAATCAATTTCCTCTTTGGTCAAGCTCGATGGCTGACGTTGATAGAATGCAAGACATTGGTGATAGTTGTACATGACATCCCAAAGAGCACGACACATGTCAATCAAACACTGTAGGAACGATTCAGGATTCAGATGCTGACACAGTTCGGCCAACGGTTTGCGTTTGAAGCTAGATTCTGTGGCCGTGATGATGATGATCGGGCGAAAAGAGTTTGACGTAACCGAGAACAATGCCGAACGCTTTGTCGTGGATGGTGTTGACAAAATGGAGTTGTAACTGCTGCAGCGATGATTCTGTTTTGCCAATCTGAGAATATGCTTTGACCAGTTGTCGATAGGTTCGGACACAGAATCGATCGCACATCTTGGCCAACACGGCGTCCATCTGATCGCCCACCAACTGAATGGCCACCAGCAGTCGATCTCGCATTTCGGCCACACAACTATACTTTTCGGAAAGTGATTCGAGAATGTCCATCTGTTTGTCTAACAAATCGATGGCCGTGGAAAAGTTCTTTTCGTACTGGAGCATATAATCGATGCGTTCGACCGTCTCTCTCAGTCGTTTGATCGCTTGCAGACAATCGATGATCTGAATGATTGCTTCACGTAGTCGATGGTTATCGATGATGGTCATGCTGGTTTGGGTAAAATTTCGTTTCGATTCTCTAAAAGCTCGACGGCCATCCACACAGGTGTGTATGGCTGTTGCCAAATCCTGTTCGATGCATCGGACACGTGCCAATTCCGATTGAAAGTGACCATCGTTGGCCAGTATCATCTCAGTCAATCGTTTCGACACGATCGTCTGTTGACCAGTAAGTTTCTTTTTCTCTAGTTCAATGTAGTTGAGCAATTCATCGGCCTGGCTCAGTGGAGGCAATTTCGAAAGAACACACTTTTCCATTATTTTGGCCTGTTCCAACAAATCGTTATTGTTCCTATCGAATTCCAACTCATCACAGTCCGGTGACTGATGGTCAGCTGGTTGACTTGGATCAAGAAAAAACTCTGAGCCGATTGATTCAATGATGCCATCTTCATCCTCGGCACTGGTGAATGTTTTGACCATCTCTTCGTATGGAGACAAAGTACGTTGGCACCGTTCTTGCACATACGAATTGATCAAACAGTAATTGTATTCGATTGCCGTTGATAAATCAATCGTTGGCTTGCCACCATCTTCATCATGGCATACGCTATTCGGAGATGAAACACTGGATAATCGTGGGCGATCTCCCGTCGATAAAACTTTGGCCGAACTTTGCTAGACACGTGTGTAGAAATTATTGTACAAGTTTCAAGTCTGAGTGAAATCAACTTACCACTTGTTTGAAAATTGATCTGAGCTTTTTGTTTCCAACTTCCATGGTTCAGAAACTTGATCAATCCATAATTGGATGTCGTCGATTCGCAAATCTTGTTTACAAGCACCACCACCAACATACACCTGTCAACATGCAAAGGTTTTGTTTATGCCTGTGCCGCGTACGTCCTCTATGGATGGCCATGCGACGAGCATTTAAATTTTGAAATTTCTTCTTTGTAGCATTTCTCTCTTCAATTGTAGCAATATATAATTTTGTACTGAATGTATAATAATAGGAAACAAATAATTTTAATGATGACATTTGCAATAAAGATTAAAAGTTATTTACAAACAAAATGGATACAATTCGTCTAGGTATTCAATAAAATGAAAATAATTATGGTAATAAGTTAGACCAAAAGTATAAGATGGTGTGTAATCAACAAAACAAAAATGATAAAATAAGAAAAGAAAAATTCATTTGTGTGACACATTGAATGCTATTGTTGTTGTTGTTGTTGTTGTTGGGTGGTGATAAGTACAAAAAAGACATGATCATGATGATGCATATATATAGAAAACAATGAGTAATGAATAATAAGGATTTTTTTGTTTTGTTTCTAAGCAATCCAGTAATTTGGTAATAAGCTATCACACACGTAGAGGAGGTTGTAATTGAGTGAATTTACAGAGAGGGAGAGAGAGAGAGAGATGATTTCAATCAACGACCAGCCGTTGTTGAACCATATCCAGATTCGGCCAAGCCGGCTGCTTTCATAAAATTCATCATAGATGACGATGTCGATGCTTCGGATGCCGCAAATGGATTATGATGACGACCCATTGATGTCGACGATCCAAACATACCGGCTGCAGCCGCAAATTGCTGATGATGTGCAGCGGCGCCAAACAACGATGCTGTTGGCGGTGGTGGTGGCATATACCACGAATTCAAATATGAATGATGATTCAATGGCGGCGGTGGTGGTTGTGGTTGTGGTTGTGGTGGATATGGCGAATAAGCAGAGGACGATGGCCCAGCGGTTGTCGATAGATTATTGGGCGCTAAACCAGGATGAACAGTGGCTGAATGATGACTTCTGGTCGATTTATTATTATCACTTTTCTTTTCATTCGTTTGAAGCATTTCCAATTTTTCAATTTGTTCTTTGTTCAGTTTTTCAAGTATACTGGCACCACCTCCAGATGAATTGAGTAATGAATAACGAGAAAATATACTTTCACGATCAGGTGTGACCAAACCAGCCCGTAATGATATGTCTTGTAATGATTTGAATGGGTCAGGAACAATTGGCGATGAATTGGCGGTCGAACCTGGATAATGATGATGATGGCCCAAGGAAGGCCAAAGAGGAGTGGGTGCTTTCGATGTTGTAGTTGTCGTTGTTGTTGCGGTTGCAGTTGTTGGCCTTTGTGATTGTGATGCAATATCAACACTTGTACGACCTGGTAAAAATGCAGTCGAAGGAGGTGTTGGCGGAAACGGACCATTATTCGTAGCAGCGGCCGCTGCCGCAGCATTCAGCAGATCAAAATAACGTTGTTGCTGTTCATTGGGCAATGCAGTTGACGCAGTAGATGTTGTAGCGTGATATGGCAACGATGATGATGATGATGACGATGACGATGATAGTGGAGAGATCGGGGAACAATGATCCATATGTCTGCTAGTAGCACCCAACAGATAGTTACTAGCAGGCAATAATAGATTGCCGTTTTCCATCGAATTGTTGTTGTTGTTGTTGTTGTTGCTGCTGTTTCGTTTGTTTGGATTTTTTGCCACTGGATGTTTCATTTCGATGATGATGATGATGATGATGATGATGAATATCACCATTATGATGTTGATGCTTATTGGATGATGGTCGATTCTTACTGTCGGATGATTCATTTTTACGTTTTTGTCCGCTAACGTGTTTATCCATCGATGGTGGTGGTGATTGATTCGTTCGACTCAACGTTGGTGCTGACGATGACATAAGATGATCTGTATGTGGTCGATTGAAAGCAGCCCATGCTGATAATGCTGCTGAATAATAATCATTTGTATTGGACGAAATGATTGGTGGTTGATTACGGCCATAAATAGATGTTGATGATGTTAGTGGTGATGGTGGCGACGGACGTGGCCACATATCAAATGATCCAGCATGTGATGGCTGAGGTGGTGGTGGTGGTGGTGGTGGTATTGGTGCTGGTGGATATAATGCAGGTAGATTTGGTGGTGCCGATAATGACGGTAATCCTGGGTGCGGAAATCTGGTAGGATATTGCTGTGTAATGGTTGTAACCGATTGGGATCGCGTCAATGTCGTTAGACCATTATATGGATCAAGTGCTTTCACAGTTGTGGTTGAATAATTTGAAATACTTAACAATACTGGATCGGATGGTGGTTGTGGGGGTGGTGGTGGTGGTGCTGCTGCTGCTGGTTCTTGTGGAATACTATGAATCGGTTGTGATGTCGATTCAACGTGGGTAATAACGGGTGCAATGTTTGCATTCGAGTGTTGCTGTTGCTGTTGTTTGGCTTTCGATATAGACGAAGATGATCTATGACTTTTCATCATCGGAATGAACGATGAATTTTCCTTTTTGATATCACGTTCTTCGCTCGAATGTTGCCCCTTTATTATTGAGATTGGCGTATTTTCTATCCTGATAAATGTTCCAGGCAATTTTGACATGCATACTGGCACCACGAATCTTTCCTTTGCGCTAATGAACAAGTGAAACAATCGATTAATTCATTTCATCATTCAATCAATTTGAATTATAGTGAACAAACCTCTTGTAATGATAATTGCGATGATGATGATGATGATGATGGCTGTTCGAATTTCATTGTTGATCGTGCAACATTCGGCGCTGATGCTACCGGTTTGATGATCACAGTCTGTGGCTGTTGCATGGTTGTCGAAACAGGCTTTCGACAATTGGCCATTGGATAATTTGTCAATGTGGACGATGACGTTGATGACATTGATGAATTATGATCATGTTCATAAGGTCTATTAGGCGTCGTGTTATTATTCAATGGGTAAGGCTACAAAATCAAAATGAACACAACAACAACAACAACAATTAGAACGAATCAAACATGAAATCATCAACGAACCGAATTGGCATTAGACATGTAAGGTGATGCATTGGCCAACGTCGTTGTTGTAGTCGTAGTCGTCGTTGATGCTGCTGTTGACGGCGCTGGTGGTGGCGGTATCATCATCAACGATGGTGACGGTGAATTTTTCAGATTATGTGCAAACAGGTGATGATGAGGTGTAGGTGTCAATGGACCACCGCCGGAAATATTATTAAACGACGTCAATGGTGGTGGTAACGGTGGTTGCAGCTGACGACTACTGCTGCCATCATAAGTAGATACTGCAGCAGCGGCAGCAGCAATCGATGCTGCCAAAAATCGTGAATCCAATTCATGTCGAAGTAATTCTTGACCTACATTATTACACACAAGACAATCAATCAAAACGATGAACAATGCAATGAAACAACATACTCTGTGATGACGAATAAATGGACGATGATGATGATGATGATGATGGCAACGGCAGCGATTGCATTGTGGATGGAGTAAAATAACTGGCCAATGATGCTGGTGTAGCCGGTGTTGGCGGACATTGACCACCACCACCACCAACACCACCATTACTACCGAATACGGGATGTACCGGTGATGATGATGCCGAACTGGACGATGATATCAAGGAACCGGCACTAAACATGATAAATGAACGAATGAATGAATGAACACTGATTGATATGAGAGACAAACATGCAACATACCTAGCATTGGACCATAATCGATTATGGTGTCCATTGTTATTTTTCGTAATCACATTCGAACCGGTGTTGAATGTATGACTAGCCAGATGATGAGCATTGTTGCCATTATTACTATGATGAATCGAATTTAATGAATGATGATGAGGATGAGTATGTTGATGGTGGTGATGCAAATGCATATCGTTGGGCATCATCATTGCTCGATTATCATTGTTGTTATCAAAATGGAAATGTTTATCATCTGACTGTTGTCGTTGTGGTTGTTGTTTTGATGATGCAGTTGCAAATGATGTTCGAAGTGAATCATCTCTCGGTTCTTCTTTGATGTTCAATTCCGTCGGTTGTGGTTGCGGCGGCGGCAACAGAGCTGGACCCGGTTGATTGGTGGATGCACTACCAATCGATTGACTCAATTGACTTAGACTTGAAAGACTTGCATTTGGTCCATATGTGTTGGCTTTTGATTGTGGTTCATGATAGGACTGGTGATGATGAAGATGATGATGATGTTGATAGTGATACGGATGATGTTGAGTGTGGTGATGCATTGCCGATAAATCATCAGATAAGGAATCACATTTTGCCATCTTTGTTGATAGCTCAATTTTGTCATCAGAATTATCCTTTGTGGTTGCTTTTGTCACCGTTTCTCCTGGTGACAGTTCAAACGTATAAACATCTTTGATCGTAGATTCTTTGGCCGTAGATTCTTGATCATTATTGGCCACCGTTTTCTTTGAACCAAGTGCCGTTGCTTTCTTATTCTTTTTCGTGGGTCGTTTTGAATCCTTTTTATTATCGTTTTCATGGTCCAATGACGACTCCTCAGCATTGGAATCATTTTCATCAGTATCATCATCATCGGATCGTTTTGGCTGTGATTTTTTCTTTGGTTTTAAGGCTGATTTTTTAGAATTTTTCAATTTCGATGTGGCTGGTGATTTTTTCGACTTTGACGTGGTCGTCGTCGTCGTTTTATTGTTGTTGCTTTTGTTGTTGATGGTGGTAGCCAATTTTCTTTTTGCTGGTTTTTTCACTGATTTCGACTTGCAAATGGCTGCTGTTGTCTTTTGTTGTTGTTGTTGTTGTTGACACACTACTGTCATGATTCTCATCTTCGGTCAAAATATGACCATCATCATCATCATGACTATCATCCTCGGTGAGAAAATTTTCAGCCAAATCATCATCATCATCAGCAGCAGCATTAACATCGTCCACATCATCGTCATCATGAGAAGCGGAAGAATTAGACGATGAAGAATCTGGTCGTTTACGTTTTTAGTTGCTGTTTTCAGTTTCTTTTCAGTGATTGTTGATTTTTTATTCGCAGTCTGAGTTGACGATTTCTTGGTTGACTTTGTTTTCAGAGAAGCTGATTTTTCCAGTTTTGTCAAAGATTTAGACCGAAGTATTCGTTTTGTATTTTGTTTACGATTATTTTGAACCGGTTCTTCGAAACCGTCATCTTCATCCTGGTCGCTATTGTTGCTATCTCCGTCATTCGATGATTGCGAAGATTCGGAATGCTCATCCGAATCGTCTCTGGCATTGGTGGTTGATTTAGTCTTTTTCGCGTTTTGTTTTTTATTATTATTTACAGCTTTTCCAATCGATTTACCGGTGTTCATTTTAGCTGCCGCTTTTCTTTTTTTATTCCTACTACCCAGTGGTCGACCGACAGTTCGTTTGATTTCTGGCGTCTGATCATCTACTTCATCCTCGTCCTCATCCTCATCATCATCATCATCATCGTCGTCGTTGTCATTATCAGATTCAGATTCAGACTCAGATTGAGCAGCAGATAGACCATTATCGTGTTTCTTTTCATCATCACAAGAACTGTCGTCGGAAACGGGTGATGAATCCATTTCCTCTTCGGAATCTGACTTTGATCGTTTTGTTTGTTGTTTTGTCGTTGTGGATTTTTTATTATTATTGGCTGGGGTTGATTTTTTCCATTGCTTTGATTTGCTTGTTGTGGTTGTGATTGTTTTCGCTGATGATTTAGCCGTCGATTTGGCCGATTTCGATTGTTTTGCAGTTGGCTGATTCTTTGACTGTTGTTGGTGTTTAGTTGATTTTGTCTGTTGTGTTTGTTTAGCCGATTTCGAGCATTTCGCACCTGAATGGTTTGAAAAAGAAAAAAGACAAAGAAAATAGCCATTTGATTAACGATGTTTTCTTGTTTGTTGAACGAAAAACCAGTAATCATCATCATCGGAATAATAATAATTATAATTAACACTGAAAAACAAACAAAACAAAACAAAACAAAACAAAACAGTGGTTATGACGATGATGATGATCCAGAATTATATTTTGCATATGCACGAAACAAACTTGACAAATAAATCCTACATCAAAAGAGCTTTGTTGTGCCCGAAAAAAAACTCATGGCTGGATGTTTTCCACGACTAACAAAGCAAACAAAGAGAAACAGACAAATGATGGATGAATGAGAGCATACAATAACTATGATGATGTTGGCTGCTTTCGATGCTCATAAATCAAACGAGAGGATCATCATCATCATCATCATCGACAACGACAAAACTGTACTTTTGCCGATTTCAGAGAGATTCAAATTCAATTGGAAATTGAAATTAAAACCAAAGACAAAATTGATTTCCGAGAACATTAACAAATTGTTCATATCCAAATGAGACGATAAAAAATATGGTTAACCACCAGCAATAATAGCTACCTGCTGACTTAATACTAGTAGGCTATAGAATAACAACAACAATTCTGGACATTTTTCTCTTTTGATCAAGTTAGTTTTAAACTAGCGAGAAAATAAAAAGTTTTAAATGTGTGAAAAAATGATTCCCAAACGAAAAAGATTTTTGCTGAGCGCCAAGACAAATGACTTGCTATCGACTATACTATAGTGTTCCCATCCACTGATGATGATGTTGAAAAAAAGTTTTATCCAAGTTTCGATAAACAGACACTCAGTCTGTGTGTGTGTGTGTGTGCGAGTGACTAAATCAAAATGGCCATAAGAATGTCAAAAGAAATGCGGATTTTTCTGTTTCACTTTACATTCACTGGTTCAAATGGTGCATAATTTATTATATGAAAATAACAACAACCAGAGAGAAATATTCTTCAGACATTTGGATTTCCATTCCATTCCATTCCAACCACACACAAATTTAGTCTTTCTGCTCACACACACACAGATGGAACGAGATTGCTTACATATTGAGAAAAAAACCAAGAAAACTTGGAATCAACCAAACAAATATTCAATGAAAAACAACTAAAAAGAAAAATTTCAATCCTAATGTGGACAGGCAAATTTTCTTCTTGTTTTTGGATGATGAACAAGAAGAAAAAAAAACAAACGACCGATTGTCCGGGCTGAGTGTGTTGGACCGATCCAAACAAACGAAAAAAACGACGGAACAATTGGGCTATTTGTATGCATAAAATACAATACAATGCATTTATTTTCGGCTATTGCGCCCAGTCAAACAACGTTGTTGTTGTTGTTGCTGCTGTTGTTGCAATCCAAAATGATTTAGTTCACAACGGAAATTTTTTCCACGGTTATTATTGCTTTGGCGGGAAAAAAAGTATCGATGGATAGAGAATTGAATCGTTTAACAGAAAAAAATTGTTCTTAGTAGATAACTGGTTAAATAAAACTACTGGAACTTCTGATACTGACAGGAGAGCGACTAGTGAAGAGAAATAGAAAAATCCATCGTATGTCAACCCGTCAACTTCTTGAAACACACCAGCCAGCCAATTAGCTATTCTTCAATTTATACGTAACGAAAGATGGTGTAGAGAGAAAACCAGAAAACGAAAAAAAAATTATTCAAAACTCTGGCTATGTCGATGTCGATGGTAATGGTGGTGGCGGTGGTGACAAATGATGTCACGCATGAAAGCCATACATACAACAACAATAACAACAACAACAACAACAACAACACTCGCACAGGAATGAATGTAAAAAACCAGATGGAAATATCACAATCATTCATTGAACGAGACGATTATGAGATATATAAGTACAGTGAATGCTTCAACGAATAAATATAAATATCACACACACACACACACAAACAGACACTTGAGAGATTCATTGATTATTATTATGCATATCATTATCATTGCTAAGATGGTCATTTCTACATTTTACAGACAGTCTCAATGAATGGACTGTGTTGATGCAGTTGGATTGTTTAAATATAATTATTCATTAGTCACTATCATCGTTCAAACAAACTAAAACCAATTAACCAATCAATGAATTTCGACTATCAAACACATTCGGTTCATCAAGATCAACTTTTCATTAGAATCAAACGATGAATCTAAACTAAAAAATATTGGGAAAATCTCCATTTCACAGTGTTTCAAAGCGAAAAAAAATAAAACACCCACAATGAGAAAAGAAAACAATTTTCAACGAGTAACACACACACAGAGACACAGAAAGACAGAAATCGGTTGATGATTCATTCATGAGAATGCAGAGCGTGGCAGCCATATTCAAAATCCCACGTTGACTGCCACACTTTTTTTCGTTACGTTATGCAAAAGCCATCTAAGGACCGAATAGCATCTTCATATAATGAAATAATAATTTGCTGCACACTAACATACACACACACAGAGAGAGAGAGAGAGAGAGAGGCATTAAGCATTCTGATAAATTATGTAACACACACACACATACACACAGACAGCAAATGATCCCTGAATAAGAATCGAGAATATGTCAAGAGCGAAAAAAAGAATTTATGCATCTTTATAAGGGATTCGCATGTTATTAGCATGACTAGAAGTAGAATACGAAAATCATAATCATAACCATCATTATGATAATGATGATTATAATAATTAACCTTTCTATCTGCAATGTTGCCGAAATCGATGAATTTATTGAGGCAATAAAAGTACTATACTATGTTGTTCACTACTCAATGTCAAATTTGAATGATAAAATTAAATGACCAACAAATAACGGACACAAGTGAGTTTGGTCCATTTTCTTAGCCAAATCGAGAGAGAAAATAAAAAAAAACGAAAACAAAATTCCAGCAGCAACTAGATTATCAAATGCCAAGGGATTTCTCTTTCTCTTTGCTTTCGATTTTTCTGCCTATCAGAAAAGAAACTGCATTTGTTCGATACTTATACAGACACACACACACTGGATATATAAACGTCGACGAAATTCGATACGGCACGATGAACAAGCGAGAAAATCATTCATTCAATACATCCACAAAAAGATATATCGATCGATTGAAAACGAAATGATCGATACACACAGACAAATGAAAATGGTATGAAAATGTAAATGAAAATTTCATTCACTCAATACTCAATAGTAATCATTCCAATGATAAATATAATGATGATATTGGATTATCATCACATTTTCAATTCTGAAAAGAGAAAAAATGAATCTTTGTGACGCCAAACATAATATTTCCGGTATATTTGCAACCAAACAAACAGAAAAGTGTTGAAACCATTTCCGTTTTCTTTCAATAGACAAGTGACTTTTTGCTACTTGTCCTTTTTTTTGCTGGTGATGGTCAGAAATTCAAAATTTCCCATATTTACGATCGTGATCATTATCAGAGAATCAATCAATCAATCAATCGATCGATTGTAAGCAAAAGACTTACCGGTCGTGGCTAATGTTGAATCGGAATCAACGTGAATGTTGTTGTTGTTGTTGTTGCTGCTGCTGCTGCAACTATTACTACTATTGTTCACATTCAACACTGGATTCGTTGATGGTGGTCCATTATTTGAATTCGTGTTCACTGCCGATGAGGCGGATGTTGATGATGTAGCATTCACCTTTGTCACCTGGAGTAATGAAAAAGAAAACATATTAGTCGAAAGTTTTAAAAAATCAAACCGAATAACATGATTTGGGCGTTCATATAATTCAATTAAAGAAATCAAAGTTAATTCTCTCGTAGACACGGAATGGATTTGTTTGCCAGTTTCAACCTGAATGACATTGTTATTGGATCTATATGTTAAATGTTCATGGAGCCCGAAAACTGGTCATCATTCTTCAACGTTCATAGGTCGTTTTTCCTGTACAACAGACTAGACACACACAGTTTGAACATTTTTGATGAATAATTCTCGGTTACGGTAGAGAAAAAGAGCCGTCAATGATTGGAGCGATATTCATTCATTCATGACCAAACTTGTAATTAACACTGATCGCCACTTGAACTGAAAGCATTTCGCATTTCAATTCAAATCGGTCCATATATGAATCAAAAAACCCACTCAAGTTTTTTTCACAATAAATTCCACACAAGAATATTTGCAATTCAATTCGGATTTTTCAAAATCCAATTTCAACTGGAATTGATTTTTTCAATCACAATCGACAAAAAACACATGAGAAGAAAAATTGATGGCCGATAAAAAAATTATCATTTCAAAGTTCATCGAATGACAATCGTTTCAAAGTTTTCATTCATTCAACGTTCAATTCATTTCATTTTTTTCTCTCATCATATTATACAGCACATACTTGAACACATCCTATTACTGTATATAGTCATAGCTTAAGCCAGAGAAGAAAAATATTTCAAAAGTCAAAAAGATAAGTGAAGAAGATCAAATCACTCAGACATGAACATGGGACATTGGCCGAAGCCAACAAAGTTGTCAATGCTCTATGTTTGTTTGTTTGTTTGTCAATATGTTGTCGTTGTTGTTGTTGTTGTTTGAATTTGGCGCGACAAAATTCGAATGCAAACCAACAACAACAACAACAACAAATGGCCATGATCTGAGGTGAATATTTTATTTGTCGAGGCATAAAAATTCAAATTCATGGTCATCAAGCAACTAGGATTTGTTGTTGTCTTTTTTTGAGGAAAAACACGACCTCGCTGAACAATGACCTTTGATCTTTGTTTGATATAACAACAAAACATGATTATCAAGATGATAAATTCACAAGTGTAGGCGGAGGTCACCTCCAATAAATGCTAAATCGATCAATCGCTGAAAAGAGTGAAACAATTCGGATACAATGTGATGACGATTAAACCCAGTGATCATCACCATAGCTTCGAGGCTTGAACAAATAAACGAATGACATGAACAACATATATATCATATATCAAATTAATTAATCAGTGTAATTAATAGAATCAACAAACACATAGATCAACAAACACATAGTGCAGGGAAAATGGATCAGACCAGGTGAGAGCGTTCAGATCGTACTGACACAAACACTAACACTAACACATACACACCACACCACACCAAAAACCAATTGACATGATTTCAGAAATGCAAATTTTCAGCAAGCAGGCCATTATTATCAAGAGAAAAGCCAGCCATTGGTCATCATCATGATCGGATCGATCTAGTAAATGATAGGTTATCAAACTATTCAAAACAAAAAGAAATTCAAAAATCAATCCGAAATCTGCATGTCAAATTAGATTCCAACACAGTGCTTTTCGATCCAGAAGGGAAAAAATCTTTCTGGTCATTAACTGCGAAAAACTTGAAAGCCAATTAACACACAAGTTGCATCATTATCTTTCCAGAGTAGTTTATAGTCGTCGTTCATATATTTCACGCTCCGATGAATACACAGCAAAAAAAAAAATTCAGCACCAAAAGAATTTTGCACAACAACAACAACAATAACAAGCAATCATCATAGATGAACAACAAGACAAGATTTAATTTTTTTTCTTGCAAAATAAAGACAAACACAAACAAAACGATGATCATGATTGTCATAATGAAATGGCTAAAAATGAACAAACTGCTCAAATCAATCTGATGTGCATGTGTGAATAAACAAAATTAGGCTGCCGTAAAGAAAAATGAAAAATTTCAATCCAACAAAATTTTTCATTTTTCCGTTACGCTACAATATCATTAAAAAACGATCCACAACAAAACGGAGATGACATTACAATCTTGTTCTGTTTGATCATTTCGGATTCAATGATAGAATGATAGAATCCCATAATAAATGGAGAATCGTCCCCACCAAGGATGAATGGGCGCCGATCAATCAAACAAACAATTTTTTCTCGTCGTTGTTGTCAACAGAATTGTTTTATAGTTTGAGCATCCGAATCACAACAAACAAGGAATCGAAAACAACCAGACGGGCCTATTGTCAAAGATTTTTTCCCATTTCTTTTTGTTATTGGAAACTTTTTCCTCAAGTTTCGATGGTGTGTGTGTGTATATGTGTGTGTGTGTTGCAAAAGAAATCAAATCGGAACAGAAAGAGGAAAAAACAATAATAATACGAACAAATGAAAGGGCAATATTTTTCATATGGAAAAATAAACACAAACAAGTGACCAAGATTGTTTTTCATTGCAACAATTTGAATTTGAGAGAGTAAAAAAGAAATTTGCATTTGAAAAAATCGAATCAAATCAACACTGGTAATGGCCATCATGATTGGAATGAAAAAGCCAAACTCAATGCTCATTCAAGTGGATCGTGGAGAAGAAAGAAACCAAGCAATCAATGATCATCACAAACAAACAATCCCAAATCATCATTTGTGTCCCGGTTTTTTCCTGATCCGAAAATTCAAAAGTCCGATACGATGTTAATGATAATTACAGTAAATAGGAAATAACAACAACAACAACAACAACAACAATAACAATAACGACGACCAGATCGATCAAATCGGGATTTTTTCAATAGTTTATCACACACAACCAGAGCGATTAAATAGAGAGAAAGAGAGAGAACAAAGCCAAACCAAAAAGCTAATTAGCATCCTCTGTGCTTTACAAATGCTATCAGCGTGATTCGATCATCATCATCATCATCATTAGTCCGTAATACGTGTAATACTAATACAATGAACAAGACCTATTATTATTTTCATCGATCGATCGATTCTCATTGATCAATCATCATCATCATCATCATATAAATTAATTATCAACATCTATTAATTCAAGGTTGAATAAACAGTGGTCAAATGACATTTTTATTGACCAATCAAAAAAAGATTGCAAATCAAATTGACCGGAAAAAGAAGTGTAAAAATGAAATTCAATCGAAAGCAAAAGTTTTTTGGATGATACCTTTTCATCAGTTTCATTTTCTTGCCATTTTGTCTTTCCATCATCATCATCACCATCATCATCATCATTGATTAGTGATGGTGCGTTGTTCAGAGAATCGATTTTCATCATTCTTCAGTTGCAGGATTGGACCAGATGAATTTTTCTTCTTTTTCGATAATCGATTTATCATCATTATGATTCATTCTGGATCACAGTCATCAGTTACAAGTTCAATAGTAATAATAAATCAATGAGTCGGAATCAATGTCAAACAAATTCTTTCATCACATCACACAAAAATTGATACAACAAAAAAATTTTGAATCTGAAAAAAATTTGTAGCAAAAAGCAAAGAAAAAAATTCACAGCACTCACAAGAATCAAATTTGCAATTTAAATTCACACACACACACACACACAAAAGCAGACAATGAAAATATTTGGACGAGAAAAAAACACCGATATATAAATGGAGCAGGATTTTCATACGACACGAAATGAATACATTGACTTTTTTGTCTGTTTGTCAAGAGGTGAAAATCTTCAGGCCAGAATTATGTAATTGAAAAGAAGAAGTGATGTTTAATGTTAATGAATTTATCAAGTCAAATCATCAATATTCTCAAGCTGTAGGCAATTTCAATTCGAGATGGATGCCGGAAATTTCCCGACAAACAAAGAATTTGGATGATTCGGCAAGAATTTGTTTCGCTTATTGTTTTCAAATTTAAAATTGAAAAAAAAAAATCAAATCGTTATTACAAACACACACAACAGCAGCAAGAAACGAACGGAACTCACATTTATTACATTTGATAAGATAACAAAATACAAATTCAGACATAACAGAGATTTATTTCGGCCACACAATCTGATCAGATCAATTCACACACAAAGATGAGAAACAGTCGTACGATGTGAACACGACGACGACTGTCGACCAACTGACGATTGAAATATGAACACAACATGCACACACACACACACACACAATAAACATTATAATGGAAACCAAACCAAAGTATGAAAAACCAGCCAGGCAAATTGTGAATTGAAAAAATACCGAACCTGAACACAAGCCAACCAAGCGAACAAATAAAAAGGCCCATATAGCCAGCCAGCACAGCATTAGAAGTAGTAAAGTCGGTTCCATCTTTCTCATTCGATTTGGCTGCTTTTCCATTTTTCGTCATTTTCTCTCTGTGTATATTGTGAACACACTAACCAACAAACCAACCAACCAACCAACCGACCGACCGACCGATCAAACCGAACCGAACTGAATGAACAAAACAGAATAGAATTCAGCGATAACAAAAAAAGCCTGCCATAAACAGAAAAAAGCCCAACTTGAAAACATGACGAAAAAAACTAGCTATATTCGAGCAGCAGGCAAGCAAAGCAAAGAAATTTGAATCCAAAAATGCAGAAAGCGAGAAAAAAACTAGTTATGAGAAACAAGGATCTGCCAGCCAGTTAAACTACCACCTATACAGAGACTTGATTCGGATCTTGACTGAGATGAAATATCCATTTTATATAGCAAAAAAATCGGGAGTCGAATCTTTTGAGGAAAAAAATTTAGCCAAAACATTATTGCATACATCCCCAGATGGATTTTTTGGTTTCATGGAGCCATTTCAGTGCAAACGGTTTTTTCTCATTGCGAGAAGAGAATATGCTGCTGCAGAATTCCGAAAGAAAAAGTTTCGTTTCACCCGAACAAGAAAAAAAACGAAAAGCAGAAGCTTGGATACTGGATTCTCAGAATTGAAAAAAAATACACATACATCCCGTAACAAGGCAATGGCAATGAATAGACCCTTTTTCCTGTTGTCGACTTGATTATAATATGAAGAATCTGCTTCAACATCAACGCGAGAAAAAAACACACAATTCTATTTGTCTATCATCATTGCTATTCAATTCGACTGCGTGTGTGAATGTCAGATAAAATGTTGATTGGCAACGGAGAACCACAATGTAATTCAATATCACACACAAATACAACTGAACATCTATATATATGCTATACTACACATTAACCATTATCATCACTATCAGAGAAAACCACAGAATAATAAAATTAAAAATGGCCATTGCATTGCATGATAATGATGGTGATCAGTTTTGTAGAGGAAAAAAATATTCAAATCATCATCATCATGTTATCCAAGAGTGATAACGGAACCAATCAAATGTTTTCATTCAATACTCACTCAACATATATTTATAATAATAATGATCAAATGAACAATCATTGGATCGATTGGATCAATCAAGCAAAAAATCGATCATCAAGGCGATGTCTTAAAATGGACATTCACAAAACAGACAATATGATTGCATCATGAGAAATGAACAAAAAAAAAAAAAAAAATCAACTAACCTTGGTATTGGTCCAAGATGACGATGAGGCTGATGGAGACGATGCAACTGCAGTCATCGACAATGATGATGATGGACGCGTGCTACTGACCGATTGATGATGACTATGACTATGATGCGAATGTTGTTGCATTGCAGCTGCACGTGCAGCCGCTTTACGTACGGCTTCACGACGATTCGAACATTTAATAAGATCGGCGATTGTTCTATTATCTTCAATAGTCTCTTCACCATCATCATCGTCATCATCATCATCATCGTCGTCGTCGTCGTCACTATCATCTTCATCCGACGAATCAGAATCATTTTGGGTATCATCATCATCATCATTATCATCTGAATCAGAATGATCAGAATCCAAAATTTCATCATCTTCATCATCAACTTCGGAATCATCATGATTACGACGGTTTCGACGCTGTTGTCGACGTTGTTGTTGTTGTTGTTGTCGATTTGTGGTTGATTTACGACGTTGATTCTGTTGTCGTTGATTATGATGGCGACCAACAACATTATCATCCTCATCACTATCACTATCACTATCATCATCATCATCGTCATCATCGTCGTCGTTGTCGTCATCATCATCATCATTGCTGGAAACTTGATTTGATTTCGATGATGGGACATTGTTGACTTTTTGCTGATTGGTCGTTGCTTTTTTATTTTTACTATTAACCGCTTTCTTTTTCACTATTGATTTCTTATTGGTCGTCGTTGTTGTTGTTGTTTTGTTTACCGTTTGTTTATTTTTGACATTTTTGCCCATTTTCGATGAGCTGTTGTTGTTGTTGTTGCTGGATTTACTCGGTGATTTGGATTTCGATTTTGTTGGCCGTTTTTTCGGCTGTTTTGATTGTATGGTTTGAGATTTACATTTCTGCAGGCACTTGCTACAAGCTGATTGGTTTTTTGCATGTTTATGCAAACATTTGATTGGAATATTCTTTCTAGTTCTGTTATCATTGTCCAGTTCATCATTTGATTCTTCGTGTTCGTCAAACTCATTCTCATCCTCGTCATCGTCGCTGGTATCAACAATTTCTTTGGATGAAAATGATTTTTTGCTGGACAAATTGTTGGACTTTTTATTGTTTGATTTTTTATTCGCCAAATTTTTCGACGGTGAAGCTCGAGGTTTTTTACACGTTTTATTATTGGTCGTAGCTGATTTTTTCCTAGGCGAAGATGATCGAGATTTTTTACCATTCGAAAGACTTGTTGATTTATGATTCGTAGATATGAGTAAAGATCTTTGGGCGATTCTATCATTTCCAACGTCATCGTCATCGTCTGATGATAAAGACGATGACGATGTTGGAGATGGACTCCTTCGTAATAATATTAAACCATCACAATAATTATTGGTCGTATTCGACAATTTGGACCTTGAACCATTCATCAATTGATGATTACTATGGTTGATTTTGGAATCATTTTGTTGATTTGTACAATGGCTACTATTCATTTGTTGCCAAGTCGTGGATTCAACATCGGATTCGGAATGATAGTTATCCGATAATTCTGACGATGATGAACGATTCGGGTCTAGTGATTTGCGGATACGTTCACTTTGTTCGACAGCACACTAATTGGTGGATGAAAAAGAAAATAAAAAAAAAATTGTGTTAAAATCTAATGTGTCCACGAAAAACTTAAGAAAAAGAGAGAAAGAAACGGTAAAAATAACTGGCAACATCGAATAATCCATAATGGTGAAAAAAGTGGTGGCCAATAGACAAACATAACAATAAAAAGCATATATTTGACAATCCAAAAGGGATGTCAATGGATTTTGGAGAAATGAAATAAAAAAAAAAAAAAAAAAAAAAACTTGAAAATAGCCACCACTAACGATAGATTTCAATGGTAGGATGAGGGCTGTTAGTCACGCTGCTTATCCATTATTACCATCATGGTGGATTTCAACTGTGGCTATAAATAGACAATGTTTCCAATGAAAGAAAAAAACTAAAAAACCAATACGACTTGTTGAAGAAACAACTTGCATATGGATCATGTATACTTAGAGATCATCTGATAAAATTTCTTTTTTCATCAACAAAACAAGTCAATCAGTGGGAAGAAATGGTTTTTTTCAATTTCAAAAAACAAAACAAAAACAAAAAATAATTCAATGTCTTCAATTCAATAGACAAACCGAGTTTCGCGCCAATCTTTATTGCAATCTCATCTGTGGCTTATTTCCTAAGTTGATGAAAACGTACAAAACAACAATCACATGTGTATAATGTAAATTGGCGTACGGCACGAATCGAAATGGGGCGTCTGCTAATGCCAATATACACGACAATGATACCAGAAAGCTACTAAAGGGACCCGAGAACCGACACCACCACCACCACCATAATCATCACTGGATATACAGATCCATCCGGCAATGAAACCAAACAACAAAAATAACTGTATTTGAATCATCGTGTGTTTGCTATATGATTCGTGGTTGTTCCATTTGGGAATTCACTACATCTCACTACATGTCTCTGTAATGCTGCTGTTTTTTGTCGTCATTGCTTGTATCACTGGGGGTTCACTATAGTTTTTCATCATCATCATCATCATCATCACCATCAACATGAGAATCGTCAAAAACAATTTGGTGAACATTCAGGACAAAGACGATACAACTTTTTTCAAGGCTTTCTTTTCTTTGAGCCGATGAAAAATCGGTGAATGGTTAATGTGTACTGTGATTCGTGTCGACCGAATACTGAAAAACTTGATAAGCCAAAGGTTCCCGCGAAAGTTTCAAGTCGAATGGAAAATGAGTGTTTGTTTGTTTGTTTGTTTGGATACTGAATCCATTCACTTTGTCGTTGTTATTCAATTTTTCCTCACTGGATCCTGTTTGTATTGGTTTCCAATATTTTTTTTTTTTTTTTTTTTGTTGGCAATTTCATGTTTGTCTCAAAACAAGAACGACTCATATCATCAGAATTGTAAAAACAAACAAACTCGAACAAAGTAAGCAACTATATCACTGCTGTATCAATAATAAAATCCAGGAAAAACCAATTGAAATGCAAACAAGACTTTCATTCAAGAATCAAATTTTTAAGCCAAAAAAATATGACAATGGGCAAAAACCACAAATTGATAACAAACGATAATGGAAAAATAAATTCAATTTGCAACAAACGAGAAAAAACTTACCATGAGATCGTGTTCATTATCAAACACTTGTAGAGCGAAATTTTCAATCAAATATTCGGCATAATGAATGGTTCTCGATTTTTGTATCGCCAATGTTTCATCATCATTCACATTATCATAAACACCATTCTCACCAGCTGACAATTTATCAACATTGGACAACGACGATGGCGAGAATGCAGAATTATTTCCGGAAATTAAATAACCACCACCACCATCACTATTAATCAAATTTGGCAAATCACCGATGGAACCTTTGACAAGTGGACAATTTTTTGTGCTCACTGATTTTCTGTTTACTTTAGTCGTTTTGGATTTGCTTGTTTTTGTTTTTGAATTTAATGAATTTTTCGTTTTCGATTTTCTTGCCGAATTTGTTGTCGTCGATGATGATGATTCTGATGTTATGGTTGAATTTAAATTTTGTTGTTGTTGATCGGCTTTGGCTTTTTCTTTGAAAAATTTAAAAACCTTTGGTTTCGCTGTGGTCAATGTTTTATTGAGATCAGATGATGATTGTGATTGATTGTGATTGTTATGGGTGGTGGTGATGGTTGATGTTGTTGTGTTGTAATGAAACCTCGATGACGATGATGATGGCTGTGTGAATGCCGAATGATTTTTGAATGCAGTTGCAGATGAAACATTTCGAAATGCAAACAAATTACCGTTTGGATTATTTGTCAAGTTGAGATAATGGTTATAATTGTTGAAATTATCATTCAAACTTCTACCACTATGATGACTATGATGATGATCTGGATAATTAACACCATTCATATTACTATTTGTATTTGTATTAATCGAACCGATGCCATTTTGTTGTGATTTGATTTTGTTGCCCAGAGTATCATTATGATAACCACCATTCAATGATGTTTTCGATTTTATTGTTGAATTCAATTTACCATTCAATAATGGTTGGCATTCTCGTGCTAATAGGTTCTTTTTAAATGGCAATAATCGTTGTTGATTAGTTTCAGAGGTCAGCGAATGATGGCCATTGAAACCAAGATAATTTGTTGGCTGTGATTGCGTCGATATAGTTGTTGCTGATGCTGTCGCTGTTGCTGATGATGATGATGATGATGATGGCAGTAAATTTGTTGTGGACGATGACTTTTTGTTTGTCGTTCCATTTGGCCGATGAACACTGAAAGTGTTACCATTTTGATGATTGTGATTGCTACTGTTTCCCTTTAGGCCTCCATTTTTCAGATTAGACAACGATGACGATGATGATCCGCCTACACCACCACCACCATTGACCGCAACACCTAGAAATTCGAGCAAAGTTTGGATCAAAATGAAAATGAAAAATTTGGCCAAATATTCACATCCACTCAGTCACTCATACCTGCGGTATTTGGTGATGATGTCGATGACGTTATTCGTCCCGTTATCGATCCGATATTGGTGGTCGATGAAGATCCATTGAGACAACGTTTTAGATTCGAGTTTGGTTCCAATGATGTGGTGGTTATCGCCGCAGATGATGATGACGATGAACAAGAGGATGAAGAAGAAGAGGAAGATGATGTAACCGATTCAATACTCGATAATAAAAGGGGGAATGGCCGTCCAGTTACTTTAGTAGTGGTGGTCGCCGTCGTTGGTTGATTATTATTTGTGATGATTGTTGTTTGCAAAGAACAAGTTGGTGTTATTGATGATTGCAGTGGTGTCGGTGGTGGTGGGTGTGATAAGCCACTATTACTATTATTAGTGTGATGATTATGAGATGAAGGTGGTGGATGGTGGTGAGAATGATGATGATGATGATGGTTATGATGATGTTTCAAGGCGTGAGTGGTCTCCATTCAGACCATTTCCTTTTCCGTGCAATGCCAGTATCTCTTTTGTTTTGAGGAAAATTGATTACTTTTAGTCGATGGCTAGAGCATTTTTTTTTTTCGACTGATCACGACCATCTTAATTATGAAACATGATATATCGCGGCCCAATTAAAGCACCTTTTGGATAAATTAACTATACAAGAATAAGCAGATTAAGATCAAGACCAAAACTTTACATCGATATATATTTAATATTCAAAGGCAAAACACCATTGAACTTCTTGAACAACAACGCAAACAAGCAAAAAACAATGGACAAATCGATTATCGTTTTGGGATTCAGATTCGAATTAGAATTCGGTCAATCAATAATGGATGAGAGAATCACACAATCACAACACATTCAAAACATTCGAAACACACAACAAACAAACACACCCACCACTAAAGCTCATCATCACGCTGTAAAAATTAATCAGATGATTTTGAAAGAAAATTTTTTTATTTTGAAAAATTGAATCAAACTATTGATAATCATCACGGATTATATCAATAATCGATGTGTTTGATGAACAACATCATCATCGGTAATCAGACCCACACACCACACAAACAGCATCAGCATTAATCAACAACAACAAAATTAAAAAAAAAAACAAACCGACGTAAACACAAGTTCACAGTTTGGCGGCCAACTGAAGACTGAACGACGACGAAATCGACGACAAAGCCGAAGAAAGAGCCATTATGGCAGCTCAAAAGAGAAAGAAAAAAATATTTGCACACACTAAAAAACGATCGAGGGTGAGCAGGAGTTGGTGAGATAAAAAGAAACAGAAACAAATGTGACGATGATGATGATGATGATAATGAGTAGCAAACATTGACGTAGCAATACTATAGTAGTCGTAGTAGTAGTAGTTGGATTGTATTATTCCGTTCCTGGATTTATTCCATGGAATGTATCCATTGTATAGCATAACATTGTTGCCTACTACTACTGCTACTATCTCTCCATGCATATGTTCAGATGTATGTCCGTCGAAAAAGTGAGAGAAATGTTCGGGATAGGGCGAGTAGATTTTGATTGATAAATAAGAATCGAATAAGATAGATAACCACTTCTACAAACCAAACTCCACCATCCATTGTTAGACCATCTACCGATGATGATGTTTCATTGGTGCACACCACTACCGCATTGTACTAGCATCATAAGCTCCGTTCTTTCCATTGCTTTCGGTGGACGCGCGTACAGAAAACTGTTCATAATGAAAATGGCATTATGGAATGTAACAAAAAATAAAACAAAAAACAAACACCATAAGCCATTTTCAAAATGAATCTAAATTTCAATAGAAAAGCATAACCACTGAGGGAAAGAATTTCAAGACACGGTGAGATGGAGAGAGGAAAATAAAGAGGGGCAGATCATGATGACGATGATGATGATGAGCTCGTACGTATAAACAATTCGAGATGAAGACGACGACGTTTAAAATATTTTTTTCGTTATTTCGTTACTGTGTCTTGCTTACACATTGCTACTGTCAATTTGTCCCTCGGTTCAATTCCCTATTCTTATGGCCACAATAATTCTTTGCCTCCCTCTTTGACATATTCACAGAGGTCGTAACATTTGATTGATAACGATCATCATTGGCCAAGCAATATGAAACAAAAACGATAATTCTCACATTGCAACATACAAGATTAACATTTCAAAAAAAAAAAAAAAAAAATAGAATCGGAATCGTGTGGATGAGGTGACAATAAAATTTCAAAACTTTTCCAGATTAGAAAAGTGAAAACAAAAAATCCAATGAAAAGCCAATTATTTTATGGGCACAAAAATAGCAAAACCAAATCAGATTGAGAAAGAAAAAAGAAAATTTAAATTCCAGAACTAGAATGCGTCCAATTAAAAAATTTGAAAAACTCAATTTGTGTGCACGAGTAACACTGCTACACTGAATTATTATCTTTATCGGGCGTCGATTATATGTGCAGCATGACAAAAGGCAAATTTCCTTTTCTGAAACACACAGACAGACACACATACACACACACAGTGAATGTGAAAAGTCATAGTCATGGAAAGAGACGAAATTTGAATTGGCTAAATGAATAGAGAACGAACGAACAACAGGCCGACACACACACTTAAGACTTGAATCGAAATTGACGATAAAGAGAAAACTTTGGCCAAGTCTCTCTCTCTCTCTCTCTCTGTGTTCGTGTGTGCTTAGCGAGCGTTAAATTGGCCAAATAGCACGAATCGAAAGATACAAAACAATGAACAAACACAGACACACCGACATAGGGATGGAAATCATATTCTCTAGGTTTAGAAAAGTTGTAAAAGAAAATTTAAAATTTTTTTTATTAAAAACAAACAAGGTGACAATTTTTCATTTACAGTTACAATTATTACAATTATTACAGTGTCAAGACATGATGTTTAATTACTACTACTCGACAATTGACCAAACAAAAAAAAATCAATCCGATTCCAATAAAAAAAATGTTGATAAAACCGAACATGAATGAACAAAAACTACGTGTTTTTGGTTAAAAAAAAAAATGAATGCGACAAAAAACAATCAACAAACAATGACAGTGACATAACAATCAAACAGTTCCATTATTATGAATTACGTTCGATCCATGAACATACTTGCACCAATGATGATGATCCCGGTGATGAGCATGTTGTGGTCGACGGTAAAGTCACATCGATATAATTTGTCGATGGACGTTGTGGTTGCGCTGATGCTGATGATGATGATGACACAACATTTGCCTGTGTTTTAGATTGCTGTTCGTTCAACGATCCAGTCGATGAACCTGTAGTGCTAGTTCCACATTCGGTAGATCCAGCTGAATTTAGACTAGTTACACTTCCACCATGTTGCTGTATACGTTTTTTACCCGACGAATGAACATTTCCGTTCATTTTTGTCGCCGATTGTTGTGCATGATGATTAGTGTTTACAGCCATTGAATCAGTCGAACGTTTTTTTGAATTCGATGCTGTGGTCATTGTGGTTGCTGCAATCGTTGCAGTTGATCGGGTACGTGGCAAACTTCCAGTCATCATTGTCTGTGAGCCATTACGACGATATTGGTTCGATCTATTACTTGCAGGAGTTTGATGATTATTTGGCACTTTTGTCAAATGACCAAACGAATGGGATGATGACGAATCGTGCATCTGATTCAACGAACGACTAGCTGATAAATCAATGGTCGATTTATTCAATTTATGACCACCACCATAACGTGTGGGCGTTTGTTGCTGTTGCTGATGACGACTTTGGATCTTTGCCTGTGATGTGCATTTTGACCTCGAAGATCCATTGACTGAAGTGGTGGTGGGCGTTCCAGAACAAGCCAGATAGATATTGTGACTGGAATAATTTGTGAGAAACTTTCGATGATCCACACTCAACGATGATGATGATGATGGTGTCGGAATACGAGAAGCACTTGTGGAACCAGAAACCAACGAACATATGGAGGTAGATTTTGTTTTATGCGCCGGTGTAAACCGTCCATTCACCACCGGAACTTTGGATCTATTGTTGTTTGCCGTAGTAGTCGGTATCCGTGATAGTGGAGTCACACTTTTGTCGCCATCAATAGATGGACGACGTGATCTCGTTATTGGCTGCTGCTGTGGTTGTTGCCGTCGTACAGCAGGTGTTGGTTTGGCCAGACCTTTGATGTTATTATTGCGATCATGAATGGCAAAATGTCCATCAGTCTGTGCATTCATAGCTGATGATCCATGATCCGGTATCGAACATGAGGATGATGATGTTTGATGTGATTCATTCGATGACGTCGACGATCGACGGCCATTCATTCCTATTGATGAATGGTAATGATGGTCAATGTTATTCGATAGTTGTTGTCGCTGACGACGCACGGAAATCGGTGATGAATTCACAGACGAATGATGGAGCCGAATCGATGAATCAGGCCTATCGAGTGAAACCTGCATCGTAATCGCTTGCTGTTGTACTGATTGCCGATTGGACGTTGTCTGATGAGAGCAGTTTAGATTCGATGATGATGAATATGGCAATGATGATACTCGTGCCGAACTCGTGTAACGATGGCCTGTTAAGATTGTGAAATGGTTAGCTGTGATGGTTCATTTCAATGTGTCCATAAAGCCAACGAATAAATACTCACCAAATCGACAACGACATGGGTCATGCTTTTCCAGATAATGCTCCAATGTATCCCTGAAAATTTTCATTATTGTAATCATCAATCAATGGTACGCGTTATTCAAAAATATATAAATGGCGCCACAATCATGACGTTGCGTTGATTATGTCACAGATGGCGTGACCATGCTCAAAGATGACTCCAACAAATAATGCAATGCTAAGCAAAACAGGCGCGATCTGTTATCTGTGCTTGTGTGTGTGTGTGTGTCGATGACCTAGATTAGCATGAATGTGGATAGAGCAACTTGGAACTTGTTCATTTGGTTTTTCCAAATCAAATAGTGTGGTTAAACGCGCCTTATTTTCATGATGATTCAAATTAAAACAAGAAAGGAAATCGCAATTGTTGTCGTTGCTGTTGTTTAGGGACTAATGAATCATCATCATCATGATGATGTTGTTTGTTCCAAATATGACCAAGTGGGCAACATTTTTTATTTTCCGAAATTTTCAATTTTTCAACAAACAAAATGTAATGATGAGCAATTCAATTTCTTGTCTGCCGAGTATATCAAACGAGAATCAAAAAGTGTGGATACGGATGAGTGCAGAATAGAAATTGTGCACATCGCTTCCACCACCATCATATATAGTGTATGTATGAATGTATCAGATATCATTACAAGTTTGCGTGTTAGTCAATATTGTTGTCCATTCACCACAATAACCAAAACCGGAACTAACCCGATTTTTGTTTTCAATACATTAATACTATTACTTTCTGTGTGTATGTGTGTGCTTATAATGACTAAATAATGAACCAGAAAAACTCATTGAATCATAAGAGTTTAATTGATTCATCATTAGTTGTAGAATTTTGAAATCTTTTTCATTAGCAAAAAAAAAAAAAATTGAACCACTTACCATCCACCGCCAACACGGACCATAACGTGATTTCGTAAAATCTGTTCAGGAGAAAGGGAAAAAAGGAAAAAACGAAATTGTAAAATTAGTTCATGACAATTTTCAACAAGAAATTGATATGAAAAGAAATTTTCTGCATCAAAAAATTTCACGGCCATGACCCAGTGTGTGTGTGTGTGTGCCAGAAATTAGCAATTTGACACGTGGAAATCACACAATGATAATCATATGTCACACCGTTGCCGGTTATTTGTTGATATTTAATCATATGATACCGAATCGTACGAATGTTTTCAATTTGTTTGGCGCCCTCGGTAAACTCTCAATCATAATAAATTCATATATATCATATATAAATAGATAGATATAGATAATGAAAGTGTGTAAAATTGTGAAAAAAAATTCTCAATGACCTTTTTATGTTGCACTTTAAAGTGAGCCGAAGAATTCTTCACATTTGGTGTTGCAACACTATAAATATAAATGAATAAATAAATTATAATGGCACCATGAATCTTTTTCATTCGTTCCATGTGTGTGTGTGTGTAAATTCATAAATAAATCAAACCAGCTTGTTTTTTGACTAGTTCCTGAACTGAATACCATTAAAGTGGTCTATTCAAGTGGAGAAAATTCTTGGCTTCAATTTTCAATTCAAATTAAAAATTACAAGACAAATGCTCTCGGGAGAAAAACAAATCAGTGGTCGAAAATCATCGGATCGATTTTCATTAATTAATTTCCTATCCTGAGCGATAATTGGCTGAAAATGAATGATTCAATCATCGTGTGATGATTGTATCCATAACTACTAGCTAGATTGAGAAAAGACCTGATTGACAATAAAGAAATTAGCATCGAAATGCAATCAAGGTTCGTTTAGAACGATTCTCCAGTTTCCGTCAATGTATCAGCCCAGAAGAGAAACTCTTTACGACGTTGAGGTTTGATCTACGTAGATTTAGTGTTATAATGAAACGCGTATTTTAGAATTCTATTATTCGATAATTCGAATAATATTTTGTATTTTGTATTTAATATTATGCTTTTTGAAAATAAAATGGTACTTGATTTTCATGCTTTGAAATAAACACATCGTGTTATTTGTTTTAATAATTGTTTGTGTTTTATTTTGTGATTGAATTGATCTTGATTTATAACAAGGTTTCTAGCACACGGATCGAGCTATCGAAGTTTGGAGTTCAACCTACGAATTACGAATTTCACATCAATCTATTGGTCGTATCGTGCTTGAAACTTGACAAGCCATCTGGGATGTGCTTTGGCCAATACATATGGCGGTTCCAACTGAGGCCGATTACCGTAGCATTTCAAAGTCATTCTGGGACCTCTGGGACATGCCTAATTGTTGCGGTGCCATTGATGGTAAGAACATTAGAATACGCTGTCCGAACCAATCCGGAAGTAGCTTCTTTAACTAAAAGGCTACTTTTCAATCGTACTCCAAGCAGTTGCCGATGCCTATCACCGGTTTAGGATAGTCCGCGTCGGTTCTTGCGGAAGGTAATGATAATTAATGTTTATTGTTAACATGCGTATATACGCTTACGTTTATTAATGCTATTAATATTATTATAGATCAGCGGATAGTGGAGTGTTCTCTAATTCCCAATTGGGAATAAATATGAGAACTGGCAACACTCCATTCCCTAGGTCTGTAGATAGACTACCCGGATCGGAAAAAGAATCACAATTCTTTTTCATCGGGGATAATGCCTAAACGCTTGAATCTTGGATGATGGCCCTTTTTGCGAGCGATCAAGCAGCAGCATGGACAATTTGGAATCATCCAAGCGAGAGGTAATCAATTTATTCATCCATTTTTAATCATATTAACCGTTTTTTAGGTTTTCAACTATAGATTAAGCCGGGCAAGACGCGTAGTTGAATGCGCCTTCGGAATAATGGTGTCGAAATTTCGCTGTCTAAATGCTCCATTGTCAATGGAGCCAGCAAATGTAGACAAAATTGTGTTAGCGTGTTGCCTGCTACACAACATCATTATTGACAAAGAAGGAAGCCCATATACACATCAGGAAGTAGAGAGGACGGCCACACAATTCCGCAATTCTGCCGATTCTCGTGTGCCATTTGATTTGGCAAGAAATTCTTCTTTACTATCCAAACACGTTCGAAATGAATTGATGGAATTCTGTTGGAACGAGGCAAAAATTCCATCACAGCCATACTGTTAAAGCAAACGATCGACGCAGTCATAGTTTGGTATAATTATGGTATGAATCACATTTATCTTTATTGAAACATTTGTCGTTATTTATCATTTGCTGTTGTTGTTTCTTTTAACAGAAATTCGGTTATCTGAATTTTTGGATATGGTAATTGAGAAATCAAATTGTCCATCGATTCACAATACCTTTTTATGCTTTCTGTTTGTTCCAAATATTTTATTTTACTCTGTAAATTCATTTTGATAATTTCTAGTGTGACCGTAGCCTAAATTCATAAATAAATCAAACCAGCTTGTTTTTTGACTAGTTCCTAAACTGAATACCATTAAACTGGCCTATTCAAGTGGAGATTCAATTTTCAATTCAAATTAAAAATTACAAGACAAATGCTCTCGGTAGAAAAACAAATCAGTGGTCGAAAATCATCAGATCGATTTTCATTAATTAATTTCCTATCCTGAGCGATAATTGGCTGAAAATGAATGATTCAATCATCGTGTGATGATTGTATCCATAACTACTAGCTAGATTGAGAAAAGACCTGATTGAGAAGAGTGAAAGGCACAAATTTCGATGCTAATTTCTTTATTGACAATAACTGAATGGACAACAATAACAACTGGGTAGAAGCTAAATCCAACAGTCTATGGCGATGGTGCTATTCAATTGAATTTTTTCCGAATCCATGAGAAACTACAACAACAACAACAATAATAATAATAATAATAACCAGAAAAAAGAAAACAATTCTCCCGAGAGCAACCCCCAATAGAGTGTGAGTTGTTAATGTACAAAATACTGAAATAAAAACCCAAGTGAAAACGAATCCGGTTCGTTCGCGTGATTCCTATTCAGGCAATTCGTAATTCATTCGAAAATTCGGTTATCCACCAAATGGCGAACAACAAGAAAACAGACTGACTCATACATTCAGTCAACTGCCGCTTTATTTTATTTCGGTCAATTTGTTTTAGTGAAACAAGCAGGGTAGCAGGGCGAGAGACATACGTTCATTACTTACCCGTACAAAAATTAATGTCCGTGTATCACCAATTCGATATTTTCCTTCGGATAAATGTTCTAGATAGAATTGTACCGGACATGTACAACGTGATAAAAGGTTGACAACCTGTGAATGTAAAGAATAAAATGTTTATTATCCATGGGTGGGTGGGTGTGTGTGTGTGTCATCAAGACACGCTTACCTTTTCATGTAACGATTCGAGATCATTGTTGATTATCTGCTGTTGCGGTGTATCATCGTCATCATCATCACAATAATTGGATGGCTGCTGTTGTATCATGTATGGTATCTGTGCATGGCCCATACTCTGCTGTTGTTGATTATCTTTTTCAATCTCCTGATCAATTTCCTGTTCAAATTGGACGAGTGTTGGCGCAAGTACACCTTCAGTTTAAAGGGAGAAAAATGATTGTTAGTTGTGATGAAATCTATCTTCAAAAATACTAAACGAACAAATAAACAAAGAAAACGCTTAGTAAAAAGGATAAACTTTATGGTTTATCATTATAAGTGATGTAAAACGTCAACTAAATTACTAAAATAGATTGAAATAAAGTTTAACATTAAATATGTAATAATAATAATAATACGTTGAATTTAGAATTTAGATTTAGTTCGATTATAGAATGTTGACGTGTATTTTGACATCTGCGCCATCGTTTCACGACAGTTAGTTGTTGAATGTTGAATCATTGGAATTCCGAACAAATTAAAACATCCACAGGGTAATGGACATTTGATGATCATAATGGCCCAAATATATTGTATGGTGTGATCATCATCAAGTCAGTCTATCTAATCTAAATCCAAGTCCACATCAAGCCTACCCCATGGAAAAATTTGTGGGCTACAAATGTGAAAAAGTAGCTCAAAAATTTTTTCGCTTTGAATTTAAATTGCAATTGCTTAATATTTCCGTTTCGTGTATGCGCGTTTTGCATTTTTTAAGTTACGTTCAAAAGTTTAACCTGATGACTATTATGCATTTCTTAATAAGTTCGAATTATAAAAATTCGATTTATGATTAGAAAAACATGTTTTTTATGTTTGAGTTTAAATGTAGAAATCGAAATTTGAATGTTTCAATTTTGAAAATTTGAATTTTTTTTTTTTGGTTGTCTATTATCAACAGATGGTAAGGAATTTAGTTGTGTTCTTAATATTTATGTTTCATGTTATTATATTTAAATATAGACAAAATTTTCTGGAATAAACATTTGACCTTTGCCATTTGCAAATTGTATACATAGATGAAAGAAAACTCATCATAATCTTGTTGTATGCTGATTGCTATAGATAAACTCACATGAAATGCATCAATGAATAGACTGAGCTAATTTTGTTTTTGAAAAAAAACCACAACATACCGAATTTGGCGCCATAACGTGCCACTTCCAATAGGCATAGGACAAAACTTTTTTCATTCTTACGACTAACAAGATCTTCGGTTTCAAAAAGAAGACATTCATGTATTTGTATACGGCGACACCATTCAATAAAATTGGCAACATTATCACGTGCTTGAAATGTTCCAGGCAAAGCATTCAATTTGATGGGCACTAGATCACGGCGATCCATTGGTGAATGATGAGGATCATTATTCGTAATATCACTATTTATTATTGCTGCTGCTGCTGTTGTTGTCGTTGTTGTTGCCATTGTTGTCGTTGAATTCAATGATTGTAACGAAAGCAGTGAAGGATAACCCCCAATAACAGCATTATTGTTGGTGGTTCCATTATTAGTATTCAACATACGCCATTCACGAGCTTTACGTAATACTGAGTTAGCATGTCTATAGTATAGTAATGGTGGGCATCAGATTAGATGTGATTACAACAAAAGTAAAATAACTTACTGGCACAAAATGACTCCCGTTTCGAGTCGCTGTAGAAAATTGTCACATGTCAAATCTAGACCATACAATGTATTGAGCCATTCGGCTAGATCTTCTTTCATGGCAATCAGATATTCTTCATTCGAACGAAATGGACGATAGGATTTTCGCTCAAAATATCCAGTTCCAAATTGTTGATCCGTTGTCGATGTTGATGTGGAGGAATAGGATCGATCCGAATCGGTTAATGATAGGGCACATGCTGAATATGATCGTTTTGGTTCATTTAAACATTCGTTGTTCATCATCATCATCGTTCCACAATGATCCGAGGATGATGATGTCGATGTGGGCGTTGGTCGCCGATGAGCATTCTGCATGGGCGATATTATCGATGTGGATGATGAACTAGTAAGGCTTGTTTGTCCTGGACTGATGCTAGAACCAACACTGTTCAATGATTCCATCATTGTAGGCAGTGCTGGCGGTATTTGGTGGTGGTGGTGGTCATCATGTCGATGTGAATGCGGCCAATGATCGGTAAGAGTCATTTTTGTTCGTTTTAAATCAATGTAATATTTATTTACACTTGAATCACTTGTTGTTCAAATTTGAATTTGCTTTATGTTCACACGTGATCAATCATCAATGTAGAAATGTTTTCGAAACGATCGATCGATCAAAATCAATCATGATGTGATGTGATGTGCTGTGTTGATGAGATGCGGAAGCAAAGTGTTGTGTCGATGAAAATTTGTCGCGCACAAAACAAAATCTATTTAGGAGAAAACAAAAAACAAAAATCAAAGATCAAAAATGATGAGTCGATTGATTTGATGAGAATGTTTTCAACAACCAACCAAAAACAATGTTTTCAATAAAAAATTTGCAAAAAACTTAAAACTTGACTATGACGACAAATGTGACTAATTAAAATTAAAATCATAATAATTGTGTGTCTCTTGGCCAAAATAAGATTCCTCACTACTATATGTTGCCATTAGCATTTTACAACAGCAGTGAACACTTCAACTTTTTCAACTGAACTTTTCAATTCTTTGCTTCCCAGTTGATGAGGATGACTAATGTCTGCGACGAAACAAAGAGAAACTGAGAAATAAAATAAAAGTGAATGTTTGACTGAATGAACTCGTTCAGAAATGAATGAAACTTGAATAAAAAAATCGAAATGATCACCAACAAATCGAACAGGAATCAAGTTAATCACCTAACCACGGATATTTCTTGAGAACCACTAAAACAAGCAGACGGAATCGTCTTCTCATATAAGGAAGATGATTTGGTTCAGAGATAAAATACAAAATGTTTATTCATCATCATCATCATCATCATCGCCATGATAATGATCATAAAAGGCAATTCTTGGCGACGCGATGATGGAAGAAAAACTCATTTATTCCATTGGATAATTTGTTTTCCGCAGCAGCAACAACGATAATTTGGGTGAATCAAAACGGAAAACTTGTAATTTGAAAATTTTTCAAATTGAAAAACTGTCATCCATGATATACACACTCAGAATCAGAATATAGAATTCGGTTTGTTCTCCCAAGAGAGATGTGATTCTGAAATGAAAGACAAATGGATTGACTTGTTTTAGTAAATTTGTTTTCTCTCTTTTCGAATAATCACTTGTTTTTCATCTCTCCAAACTGTCTGCTTCTTTGCCGTTTGTTGTTGTTGTTGTTGTTGTCTGGGATGGTATCTGCTCGATTCCTTTATGATGCAACAATATTGTTTCTTTCATGGTGTAACGTGTATGACACATTTGAAAAAAGTTGAAATGTAGTCGAATGGCAAAACAAAACAAACGTGGGCGTAACATTTATAAGAAAGTGAATCACAAATTCTGTCATAAAATGACAAAATTCTCAAATGGCTAAAATCATGTCACCATTTCGTTGTTGATGATTTAAACATTTCGGAAATGTTGTGTTTAAACATTTTGCAGTATGTATTGCCAATAACGAATTAATGACAATAATAATCAAACAAAATAATAATATAATCATAATCATCATCATCATCATCATCATGGATGTCAAGATTATTTCACACTTTAAAAAAGACTTTTTTCAAAAAAAAAAACAGGAAAACAGCAAACAAAATAAATAATCGACGAAGGAAATATGGAAGATGATAAATATGCGAAAACATTACAGAAAAATAGACAGACAGGTAACGTTGGATTATGTCGGATTTATATATTGCGGCTATTAATACTAAACAAATATCAACATCATTAAATTGACAGATGAAAAAAAGAAATTAACAGATTAACACACGTACACACGCACACACGAGACATAAGAAATGACAAACAGCCAACTATTCATCATCATTGTGTGGATATATAGAGACGGACAATGAATGTTTGTTGGGTTTGTTGTTGTTTGATCTAATCCAATCCGATCATCATTTCTCAATGGTAAAAATGAAACGAATTTGAATTGCATCGTGATCATCATCCATACAGGTCGTGACCAATCATTCATTATACACGTGAGCCAATAAATTGAAATAATTTTTTTCTCACAAAATAATAAAATGAATTTCAATTTGTGGCTGAGAAATATTTACTATTCAAAAGTTTCCATAGACACAATTACCGGATTTTTGGAACCAAATCGATTCAAGCTTACCCAAAAACAATAATAATAAAGACGATTCTTAGGTAATGCAACTTGAAAATTAAAAAAAACGAAATGAAAACATAAAATAGATAGATGGGAAAAAGATAAATTTCGTCAACTGCAAGACAACTATTGAATTACACAGAGTGTTTAAAAAACAAGAATTACGACGATGGAGAAGGATGGTACGACCGAAACACAGCATTAAATTTATAATATATAAATATATAAATACAGGTAATAACTAGACATATGACAGTGAAATTACGATGGCAGCAGAGAACCTTGAAAACAACGGAAGATCGACACAAACATGATGATTTTGCAAGAAATAAACAAACAACAACAACAACAAATGAATCTGGGCAATTTTCGAAAAGTATCAATTTAACAATGACTCGACACATGCACATGATGCCAGCATAAATTCAAGCACAAAACAGACAAATTGAATCCGTGTTTGGTCTAGTGAATCTATTGAAAACCAGGATATATCAATGATTCACATTCAAGGAAACAAAAACAAAATCGGGATTCAAATTTCAATGAGAAATATGTATGAAACAAAAATTCCGACCAGCAGGATGCCGCGAAAGGAGACCAATAAAATTGCCCTAAAGAGATATAAAGACAGAAAAACAGGAAAAATTAAACTGTTAACCCATTCAGCGTTTGGTTTCAGTTTCACCATCATTCATTTATTCATTGAAATTTCCATTTTCAATTTGTTCCAAATGTGAAACTTGAATTGAATATATAGTAATTATAATTATATTGTTCAATGTTCAATTCATCGACAATTAAACATTGCGGTTTTGTGGCATGCACGAACTAACCATATACACAACTCGTGATCATCATCATCATCATCATCACGATAGGAAGCTATGCGAATAAAACATAAATTATACACTACGTTATTCATTCCAAGTAACAAACAATTAATTCATTTCAATAATAAGTTTCTGGAACACCGCATCATTTCACAAGAAAAAAGGTTTGGTATACCATCTTCTGGAACAATCAAGACAAATACAAGTGGCGATAATCTCTGGCAGATGCTGTTCATACATTTTCAGCTATCGTGCTTATCGCCATTCACTTATGATCCAGGATCATAGTCATAGTCATAGTCATCACTGATAAACAACAACAAAGGCGGAACATGTAATGACATAATCAACAGACAATTTTGATAGTTAAGTTCATCTTTTTTCCCAACCAACAACAATTCACAATATTTCTCTAGAAATGAAAATACGACATTTTCAAATTGGAAAAAATTCATTCATTCATATTCACCCCACACATCATGGCATCCATCCACACGTTGATGATGCAGTTGTTTCTTTTCTGGGCCAAGTCTCCCTCCACAACAACAAAAACAATCGACCATTTGTTTTGGATATTATGAAAAAGTTCCACACACACACACACACACACAGGCCATTACAACTAACGATCACTGTGATGTAGTTAATGGTGGTGGTCGATTCAATATAGATGGAAAATGGATCATAACATTCATAGCATTGGACAGTTTAAATATGTGGAGATATAATGATTGTATCGATAATATCGTGTGGTCTCTTTCTTTTGCCCATTTTTCTATATCATCATCATCATCATTATCATTTTGATTCATTTTGGCTCATACTTACAATGGACAATGGTCATGTGCGAATGATTTTTCTATGGTTCATCATCATCATCAGTCCAATATAATCTCGAATGAATATCGAATGTTAATGTTTTCATCGTGATTATGACGATGATGAATGATGATTGTAAAATGAAACAAATATTCAAATCGAGCAACAAACTGAACCAATTGTCCAGATTAGGAGCTCAGGATTATTGACCATTTCATGATGGATATCATTTATCGATTTATCGATCATCATCATCATCATCATGAATCGATCAAGGATTTTTTTCACATTTCACAAACAACAACATTTAATGAAGAAAAAAATCATATGAGACTGAAATTAAAAGTTTAGGATGGAGAAAATTTGGCAATAAATGGCTCATTTTTGTTTCAGTCAAGTCCAGAGTCAATAATGATTATGCCAAGACAAAATGTCCATCAAAATCATCATCACCATGGCTACTGTTTAACAACTTGTTATGTTCATTACCGATATCAAAAACGAACACCCACCATAAGCAACACAAACAGACACAGAAATGCTTAAATTAATAGCCAAAACAGTGATGAAAGTATCATTATTAATGTTAAAGTCAAAATGTCATGTCCACTTGGTTCACTGTCTTGATTGAATAAAATGACGGAGGCGTTTTATTGCCAGTGCGAAAATTGTTTGAAAACTCAAAAATAATTCATCAAAATAAAAGAAACGATGATCGATTATCTGGATCCGGTTCGACTTATCCACTATACCCAAGATTGATCAGTGTTGTTTCGTGTTTGTAGTAGTGAGATCTTGACAAGAAATTAACCTCAAATACAATCAAGATAGAGAGACAAGATAGTGAGATGTAAAAATCAAAGAATTCGATGACTGATTTTACAAACATTTTTTCTTTCAATAGTGAACCGGCACCAAGCAAGTTCATTGAATTCAAAAACAAACAAACATGAATTGTGCATTTCTCCGATTTCTCTCTTTTCCTCATCATCATCAATGTTAATGTAAATAAATATTACAACCGAGCAAGAGAAAAAATAATGAAACCAAGATGTATACAGTGAGAATCGAATACATTCATGCAGAGGTCAAAATGCAGTCATGTCTTAAAATTCACCATTAAGCCTGATTAGTTTGGTGTGAATGCTAATTTGTTTTAATTAATCAATGAATGAAATTGGCCATTTCAATTCAATCAAATCGATTATTAATGGATCCATTTGGTGCAATGAAATCATCATCAAACCTCCAAGACAATGATTTGATTGACATAATGCAACTGGAAAATTCTGTTCATTATCATTTCTCCTTCACAACATAAACAACGATTAGTTTGCTTAAAAAATGATAAAAAAAATCGATCAACAACCATGTATTTGGCATCGATTTTTTAGCATAAATTGTTTTTCATGTAGAAATAGAGGACAATGTACAAATGATGCAAATCAACATAACAACATAAAGACAGA